AGGCACCCAGCAGACTCAGCGCTATCCATGGTCCTGAGATCGCCTGCACTAAGCCCATGCTGACCACTCCGGCCCTTGCCCATCTGACTTACTCTTCACCTGCATCACTTACTCTTTAGAATCTCACCAAATATTCTGCCTCGTGTTGCCTTGATCTTTCCTCTTGGTTATCATTTCACACGTTTCAGGAGAGTAGAGTCCATTAATCCTGAGTTCTGTTTGTGTTCCATAAACAGATTTCCCTGTATGGTTGTATTTCTTGAATCAAGGAGTAAATCCATTTCCTTGAGAAATAATTTCTTTATTAATTCTCAGTTTTGCAAAATGAAAATCAACCTATGTTTAATTTGTTCTCTTTTGCTTTCTGTATATTGGTTCCGCTTGTCATATGTATCTGCTTTAAATCTTACTCTGCAGTAGTTTTGCTATCATCTTTTTGCCTTCAAGTCCTCCCTCCTTCCTCTCTTCTCTCCTCTCTTCTCTCTTCTCTCCCCCCCCCCTTTCACTGATCCTCAGGCTTTATTCATGCTTCATTTATATTGCCACTTTTCTGTTTCCAGGAACTAATATGCTTCCTAGCCGTTATTTCCCTTAATTCATCTAACTTAAGTGTTTCTCAGAAAACAGCCATGAGTATCTGAATCAGAATCCCCTGTGACATTTAGACTCTAAGTTCCATCTGTGACCAATGCTTCTGCTTTGCTTGGGATCCTTCTCTATGTGATTTTCTTTCTTATGGATGTGGAGACTCCTGTGGCCAACAGAGCCCTGCTTAGCACATGAGAAAGTAGATCTGAGCTGTGCCTTTCCAAGACCCTCCCATTGTGATTCCTATCAGTGGCTACTGCTCTGTGGTCTTCTGATCCCACTGGACTATGGATGGTCTATGACCACATGATGCTCTTTTATCTATCTTTCCTCCTCTTCCTGCTCCTCTTTGTGCTCCATTTTGATCCCATTTTTCCCAAGAGGATAGCCTGCTTGAATGCTCTAGGGCTTCCTATAGCCCTACTATCTAGCTTGGATAGCTCTAGTAGTCCTAAAACAATTCCTCACTCTTCTCTCTTTTTCTCATTTTTGAGGAAACACGTGTTTTCGTCTCAGAAGGAGCCATTTATAAAGCAAAACTAGTCTACTTCCAGTAATAAAGTTTTGAGTTATTACAGAAAACTTAAAGTTCTATGTCAGTGATGGAGGTTGTACTAGAAACCTGGTATGAAAATTTTTATGTAGTAATTCAACTTCACAGATACTTTCTGAGTCTTTACTAAGTGCAAGGCCTGAATCTGGCACCATAAATATATCATGGAGAAAAAAAAGGCCTTCTTTGGTTTCATGAAGATTTCAGGGGTTGTAAAGAAGTTAGGCAATGCTCAAATAACAGCACCAGGAGCTGTTATCATTGCTTCAGGTTTTAAGACATTTACTCATGAAAACTCGAGGACCAAGAGGAAGGAGGGAATCCTTGAATGCTTTTGAATATACAGTAGGGAGAGATGGCATGAATAAATTATTGGGCATGTGGAGTTTGAGATAAGCATAGAAAAATGTGTAGAATTTTCAGTAGAAGAGCACTGTATGTTTGGAGAACACCCAGCAGATTTCAAGCTTAGGAGTTGAGAAATTTAAAAAAATAAGTAGGTATAAGGAGGTAACTTGGGGCTACATCATATAAAGACTTTAATGTCTAATTTAGAGGTGAGTAAAGTCTAAAACCTTTACCACACTGTCTTTATACACATTCATGGGATAAAGTACAGAACCCAAGTATTGTCTGCAGAAGAGAGCACAAATTCAGGCACATGACATGAAGAATTTGCCAAAAATGAAAGTCAAGACCAATGCAAGAGCCCAAGCAAGTTGTTGCCAGTAGGTCTAAGCATCAAGAGGGGTGTCAACACCGAAAGAGGGGCCCTGGAGACAGCAACCCTTCACCTGGAAAAGGAAACTGACACAGACTTCCCAGGACTTATATTGGCTTCCCATGAGTGTCCCAAGTCAGGAATATGGCATTTATAGCCTGTATCTTGGGGTCTTTATTATGAATTTGACATTGTGGTAAAGGTAAATAAAAATTTCCACAAATACCTTAAACCATGGGTGCGATCAGATGGGGAATGGAGCGAAAAGTCATGTTTAAACACAAAGGACTGACTTTGCTAAAGCATGTGGCTAAAAATAGCCACCTGTTCCAGGTTGGATCCCGAATTGGAAGAGCTCTTCACATACCAGATTCAAAAAACAGCTGTCACCCGGTAGCCATGGCAACAGCCATCCCTGAAGAAATGTGGAGAGATGTTTTTGGAATTGGGTTGGGAATGGAAGTGGACATGACAGTGTTTGAGTAAAGGCTGAGGCTTCCTGTTTCCCCTCTGGGTTGAAGCCTCATCCTTCTTCCCTACTTTCTGGCCCTCTAATTTTCCACAGTCTTTGGTTCTTGTTTTCTCTGCAGAGGCAGCTTATAGAGTTGTTTAGTGCCTTTCCAGGGGCTGGATAGGCATCAGAGAGAGTCACACACCATTGGCACCATGCAGAGATGGCATGGGAGGCCAGGATGCATAGGGGGCTTTAGCATCTTCTGGAGGGGTGGTTCAGATCTAATGTGAACCATATTATGTTGTTGTTCTCATGTGTTCCTTGTCAACAATCTTCTTTAAATATATTTGTCACTTCATGTTGACAGTATGAAGTCCTGTGCACCTGCCTTTCTGTTTCCATTGCTCTTTATTCTTTGTAAACCCCTTAAGGACAGAGAGTCCTGGTTTTGATGCCCCCTGTGTTAGTCAGTTTTCTGTCGCTGTGACCAAAATACTTGGCACAAACAACTTGGAGGAGGAAAGATTTATTTTGGCTCATGGTCTCAGAGGTTTCAGTTAGTGGTTGGCGAGCTCCATGGCTCTGGGACAGAGAGAAGGCAGAACGCAGCGGCAGAAGGGCATGGAGGAGGAAATCTGCTCAGATCATGGCAGCCAGGAAGCTGAGGAAGATTCAGAGGAAGGGGCCAGGGACCAGATACAGTCCCCAAGGGCATACCCCAGTGACATACTTCCTACAATCTTGCCCCACATGCCTATAGTTTTGACCCTCTCCCAGTAAATAGTCCAATCAAATTATTAATTCATAAAATGGATTAATCCACTGATGAGGTCAGAGCTTTCATGGTTCAATTATTTCCTAAAAACCTCACCCTTAGACATTGTTACACTGGGGACCAAGCCTTCAACACAAGCTTTAGGAGGACCTTCCAGATCCAAACCATAGCACCCCGTAGCACTGGAGCATTCTTCTAATCTGTCAAAGTTGCTTGCACGATGCAACAAAATAGAATTCCCTTAGAGCTCCAAAAACCTGCTCAAAAGCTATATTTAGCTCCTACCCCAACTCCTGAAATCCAAATTATGACAAATGGTTAAAATGTGTTAAGCAGGATTCTGTGGTATTGGTCTTCTTTGAGGTCAGTTGTAAACTGTGAGTGAGACCACCACAAATCATTGTGCACAATGCATGTTCTTAGTGTATGATTAAATGTAGACAACTAAACATGCTTAGGATAGCATGGGTGATAAAGACAGGTATGTGAAGTTAAATAAAAGCCCACACCTCCTGAATGTGTTCTTCAGATGGCTGAATAAGAAAGACATTTCCCTGGAGAGAGAGGGCTAAAGTCAGAGAAGTGGTCAGATGACAGAGGAGTGGTCAGGTGATAACTTGTTATGTTTTAGACATGAGGTATTACCCAAAAGCTCATGTAAAAAACAATACAGGGTGTTCAGAGGTGAAATGATTGGGTTATGAAATCCTTAATCTAGTGTGTTAACCCATTTGAATGGATTAACTGGGTGGTAACTTCAGGCAGGTAGGGTGTGGATACAGGAGGTGGGTCACTTGCCATGTGCCTTTGGGGCTTATATTTTTTTCTTATTGAGCAGATCTCTCTCTCTCTCTCTCTCTCTCTCTCTCTCTCTCTCTCTCTCTCTCTCTCTCTCTCCTTTCTGGTGGTGGTGTTCTGAGCTGCTTTTCTCTGCCACGCCCTTCTGCCGTGACATTCTGCCTCATCTCAGGCACAGGGCAACGGACTGAGATCTCTGAAACAGTGAATGTCAAATACGCTTTTCCTCCTCCAAAATTTTTCTTATTAGGTCTTTTGGTCATAGCAACAAAAAAAGCTGCTTAAAACACAAGTCAGAGAGACAAACTCAGGTGTCCTTGTGACATTCATGAGATCTCCACCAGGCAAAGTTGGAAACTACCTGGGATCTTTACGAAGAGCTCTTCATTAGCATAGAGTTCTAGACCCCGGTTGTTATGGTAGTTGGGAGCCTGTTTTCTCTGGTATTTCCCTCTTGACCTCTGGCTCACCTGATAAAGAAAATATATTGAGCACCTATGCTTATATGTTTTTTACAGTGAATGAAACTCTAGGCCTAGCAGGCAGGGGAACATTCATTCATTCATTCATTCATTCATTCAACAAACCCATCCTGCGAGATAGTGTGTGCCAGGCATTGTTGGGTGTTCCATGATCTCTGTCCTCATGGACCTGACATTGGAACAAGAATGAGAATCATTGTTATTGCTGTGATGGATCTGGATGATGATAACCACCTGGTACAAAGCAGGCTGGTTTAGTGTATATTAACAATATTTTCTTCTCTTCTGTATTCTCAATGTTCCCACATGTGGAACCTTGCTGATCCCGGAGAGACTTCCTTCCTCCAGCTAGCCAATTCCTAGAGATAGCAAACAACCCTTCTGTGAACATCTGCTACATATGCAAACCAAGCAACCCAGAATTCATACCTGCCTTTTACCTCCTGGATGGAGCTCCTAATTTGAGCTATTATCCTCCAACCAAAACTCATCTCAGGGTTAAACCCCAGAGGCACTAAGGGCAGTCTCTATACCTCAGGAACTTAGTGAAACAATCTAAACTAACCAATCCCAAACCGCCTGGCGTGCTTACCCTGCCTCCCCTATTTGTTCAGGCAGAAAACCCAGTGAAACTCTGGCCCATGCTTTCCCTCACTCCTCCTGACTCCTGCCCAGCCCTGGGCTACCTGTGTGGCCCTCCATGGCCAGTGTCCTTCCCTCTTGGGAACTGTGAGTAACAAAATATCTTTTCAGTGGCAGTTTTCCTGATCTGTTGGCTTCATGAGGATAATGAGGAGGAGTGTGATTAATAATAATATCTGCATTTTTAAAAGAATAAGAGCTCCAGGTCTGGCATCAGAGCCCCTGGGTTCAAATTCATCTCCACCATTTACTGATTATGAGATTCGTCTCAGTTTTTTTTTTTAATTTCCAAAATAGAAACAATATCTAACCCATTGGGCAGTTAGGAGAATTATTATTTCTTTCTGTCTGTCTTCTTTTTTTGCAGCTTTGGTGATGGAAGTCAGGCCTTTGTGCATTGTTAGGAGAATTAGATGAGATAATTCATATAAAGCATTTAACTCAGAGGTAACTGCCATATATAAATGATAAATAAGTGAGATATATACAATGTGGGTCCCCTGCCTTTTTGAAGTCTGTAACCAAATGTTACTTTTTAGAATTTTTGATCTTGGTATTCATTATTTCCTTTGGTTCTTAAAGCTCTGCAGAGGTAGCTGATAGGGGAAGTTGGGGGACTCATGTTTTTCAGGCAAGGAAATTGAGAGTCAAAGAATACTGGCTCGCTGGTGGAAAAGGTTGGATTAAGATCCAGCTCTCCTGATAACTAGTTCTTTCTACCTGGCCTTTCTACTGAGTGGCCAGATGTGGTGCAGATGAGGACTTGGAAAATCACAGACCAGACTTAAAAAGCAGTTCTACTATTTACTGAGCCTGCACAAACAGATCAAAGTTGAAGGTCCCTGAGCTTCATTTTCTCAACTGCTATAAAGAAATATAAATTTTCAGGCATTACTTAAGGTTTTTAAAACCGGAATTTAATCAAAGCTGGTTAGAGTAAAATAAACACGCTCATATGTGCACTCTCATTTTCTCATGAGGAAAATCTCAACTACTGAAAAATCTTGATGCACAAGGTCACACATCACAATATTGTCTGAATAATGCAATTTCGAAGCAAATGACATATCCAATAACAGGGAAGTAGAAAAATAAATTGTGATATATCCACATGATGGGATCATATATGGCCATTAAAATGATGTTCACAAAGTTTATAACACAAAAATTACTGTTTGGTCGATACTTCATGCCTTGTCTCCCTCTTTGAAGTTATTATTTCATTTTAATCAAAGTTATTCATGGCTTAAAGAGGCAGATAGTTCCAAGAGACTTGGTGGAACCCAGGGGCACTTAACCACTGAGGCATATCCTCAGCCCTTTTTAATATTTTATTTAGAGAAAGGGTCTCATTGAATTGCTTAGGACTTTGCTAAGTTGCTGAGGCTGCCTTTGAACTTGCAATCTCTCTGCCTCAGCCTCCCAAGCTGCTGGGATTATGAGTGTGAGCCACCATGCCTGGCTTGGATTTTTTTGACACTCAGAAAAATGGAGCAGAAAGAGACCAGGTGACACTTTGCCTGGGCTTTTCTTGCTAGTACTGAGGAGTAAGGCTGGGAAACCCTCCCCAAGGTTGTCCCACAGGAGTGGAGCCCATGTTCTCTCTCTACCATGAAATGTTCAAGGAAGAGACAGTGTTGCTCTCCTAATGTCTGCAAAAGTGTGAAGTGGCAGGGAGAAGTGTTTCTAGTTTCAGGGTGAGTGGAAAAGGAAGGTGGTGGGGTTTCCGTTAGATCAAGGGCCAGGAAGAAAGCAACAACTATTATATCCATGGTGATTTCAGGAGGGTGGAATTATGAATAATCTTATCCTTTTTCCTAATTTTTCCCGAATTTCTATGATGCCTATTCCTTTCTTTTATCGTGGATGAAATCTTTGGTTCTAAAGAGTTGATGAAAATCCTATTGACTCCCCGCAATTATTATAAGGCACAGAGCCTGCTACATAGGCGTTAGCCACCTGGAAGTGGCAGTTTCCTTTCTTCGTCCAGCCCTAGCCACCTGTGGTTTCTGCACATTGTAGAATGGATGACGAGGACACTTGTATTGGGTCCAGGAGTGGATCATCAGGTGCTATTGAACTGCTATTGGTGTTTTGACTTTTCACTGGCATCTGATCAGAGATCTTGCAAAGACATTGGGTGAGGGTGGATGGCCCCGAGCCAGGTATGGCCAACAGCAAAACTCAGCCCCCTGGACCCAGGTTCACGGTTCACTGCAGTCTCCTACCAACTCAGTTCTGTGTCCACTGAGCCGGGAAGAAGAACTGCATCCTGGCAGGAGAAGCCCGTAGGCAGATGAAGGGCAGATACTCGAGGGGACAGGCTTGGCTGAGGGTGCAGCACATACACAGGAAGGGGTAACAGGAAGGTTCCCGAGGCCTGGGGAAGAAACAGGCTGCTTAGTGTCTTAATTAGGGTTCTCCCAGGAGCAATCCCTGAGGCAAAGATTCAAGGGCAAGGAGTTTATTTGGCAAGCAGAATGAGGAATGGAGACAGGAAAAGGGAACAGCTGATAGAGAATGAACACTTGTTATCTCAGCATAAATTACCGTAGTGTGCCCAGCCACCAAGTAGTTGCTGCCATGGGAGACCAGAGGGTCATATTAAGAGGAAATTCTGGGAATTCGGGAAAAATACACACCGCAAAGCTGTCCTGTCCTAGGGATGCACTTTCTGGGCTGTGTATTCCCAGACTTCTTTGTCATTGATCAGGCTGCTCCCAGGAAGCATTGTTCCCTGCCCCTATCAGCCTGGTGTACGTGGGCAGAGCAGCTATCCGTGCCTGTCAGAAAACTCTTCCAGTGAATAGAGGCAGCTACTGGAGGCTGGGGATCTGGAGGCCACATGAAGGGAGAAGGCTGCAGGTGCAGGGCCTGCTTCCCCAGAGTGAGGGTATCACTTCCTAGGTGTGGGTCAGTAAGTTAGTTTTACTCTCTTTGTAGATTGGTCATGCAACTTTTTATACCAGTCTAGGACTTTCTTTTTTTGAGGGGGTGGGGTACTGGGAATTAAATTCAGGGGCACTCGACCACTGAGCCACATTCTCATCCCTATTTTGTATTTTATTTAGAGACAGGGTCTCACTGAGTCGCTTAATTCACAATCTTTCTGCCTCAGCCTTCCAAGCCACTGGGGTTATAGGTATGCACCACTGAGCCCAGCTAGGAGACTTTTTAAAAGTGAAAGAAGACGTTATTAAAAGTTATGTTGATGTTATGGCTTATATGTGCAAGCAAAAAAAAAAAAGGTTGACTTCATAGAAATTGAGTAGAATAGTGGTCACTACAGGAAGGGGATAGGGGAGAGGGAGGTTGGGTGACAGTCACCAAAATATTGTTCCATAGGAAACATAAGGTCTAAAGTTCAATAGCTATATAGTAAGGTGATCATGGTTCATAATAATTTATTACATCTTTCTTTTTTGGTACTGGGGATCAGAACCCAGGGGCACTTAATCACTAAGCCACATCCACAGTCCTATTTATTTTTGTCTTGCTAAGTTGCTTAGGGCCTTGCTAAGCTGCTGAAGCTGACCTCAAACTAGTGATCCTCCTGCTCCCAGCCTCCTGAGTCACTGGAATTACAGGTATGCACCACCATACCCAGCTTTATTATATATGTCTTGAAGATCTAGAAAAGAAGAGTTCAAAGTTTCCTAGCACAGAGAAGTGATAAATGTTTAAGGAGATGGAAATGCTAATTACCCTGATTTGATCATTATACATTGTGTACATATATCAAATTATCATACTATGCCCCAAAATATGGACAATTATTATGCATCAGTAAGAAGAGATTATGGTGAGACAACAGGTACAGTTGGGGACTGTCCCAGGCACACCAGATATATAGTCACTCTGTTTCTCTGGATATCCTTCTAGTCTAGGCATATAAACTTTGTCTGTCTTGTTTTTATGTAAACAAATTCTAAAGTGATTAAAATAACTGAGGAAAAGATAGCCAGAATATTCTCTCTGTGGTTGGATATGTAATAAAGACTATGAAGGATGTAAGAGATTAATGCATTTATTCACTCATTCACCAAACACTAAGTATCTACTCTGTCTCAGTCATTATCTTAGACTTGGAGGCCACAGAGATGCCTAGGACAGATTCCTTCTCAAGAGCTTCATGGTCTTGCAGGAGAGTCAGGTATATCATTAAATTACAGTATAAGGCATAGCTGCAATCAAAATGGTTTCCTAAAGTATACACAGAACACAATGATAATATTGGGGTGCGTGCGTGTGTGTGTGTGTGTTGGGGGTTGTCAGAAAAGGCAAAATGTGTGCTTAGAAGGACAAAACCAAGTTTCTCCAAGATTCCTCAAAAGACTAAACATGGAACCACCATATTATCCAGCTATACCACTCCTTGATATTTATCCTAAAGAATTAAAGTCATTATACCATAGCCATATATACATACACATGTTTACAGCAGCACCATTCACAATAACTAAACTATGGAACCAGCCTCAGTATCCATCAACAGATAAATGGATAAAGAAAATTATATATATATATATATATATACACACACACACACACACACACACACACACACACACACACATACGTATACATACATACATACACACACACACAAAATGGAATTTTATTCAGTCAAAAAGAAAAATGAAACTATGTCATTTGCAGAAAAAGGGATAGAACTTATGCTAAGCAAAATAAGCAAACTCAGAAGGTCAAGAGTTGCATGTTTTCCCACATATGTGGAAGCCAGAGAGGAAGAGGAAAAAGAAAGGCTTGTGTGTGTGGCGAGGGGTAGGGAGGTTATCATGGAAATCAAAGGGAGATCAGTAGAATAGAGGAAAGGGACCGGAGGAAGTAAGAGGGGAGGAAAAGAGGAAATACTGGGGAATAATATTGGCCAAATCCTATTGTTATATTGTGGTATGTGTATGTGTATGAATATGTAACAACAAATCCCACCATTATACACACTATAATGTACCAATGAAAAAATATGGGGTGGGGGTAAAAACAGTTTCTCCATGAACAAGAAAGGGACAAATTTCTAGGCAGAGGAAATAGTACATATCCAGACAAGGATGCATGAGATGAGTATTTAGTTGAACACACAGGCACTGGCATTGTTCCACACCATGGGCAATTACTGATGACAAGATTCCTGATTTTAGATAAGTGTACACCAAGGGACAGAAGCACTAGTCATAGTGAAAATGGTGAAATGACCCTTGTGTTCAGTAATGGATGAATGAATAACTACACAATGTGACATACACATGTGATGAAGGTTACTTAAGCTTTAAAAGGAATGAAATTCTGATACATATATATAAAGTTGAAAGCATTATGCTAAAGGAAATAAACTAGATGTGAAAGGACATATAATGTATGATTCTATCTGCATGAAAGGCTTAGAAATAGGAAAATTCATAGAGACAGAAAATAGAACAGTGGTTACCAATGCAGGGTATGAAGGATAATAGGGATTTATTAATAAGTATAGAGTTCTTGTGTGGGTTGATTAAAAAAAGTTCTGGAAATGGATAATGGTCATGGCTGCATAGCAACGTGAATGCACTTAATGCCACTGAACTATGCAATTAAAATAATTGAAATAGTAAATTTTATGTTATGCATATTTTACCACAGTTTAAAAATTTTCTGTTTTTATAAGGCTTATATTCTGGTAGAGGAGTCAGACAATGAATAAACAGAGAATTCATTGGATCATCATAGATTATGACAAATGCATCAGAGGAAAGAAACAGAGGGATAAGATAGAGGGCCTGGGGGGTATTATTTTGGGATCCTCAATATGTTGAACTGCCTAGAATGGTGAGTAGCCCCAGAGAATCAGGATTAAGAAAAGAATGGTGGGAGATGAGACTAGAAAATAGGTGTGGCAGGAACTACATTATGGAGAATCTTGTGTGTTATACTAAGATGTTTTCGCTTTATCCCGAGAGTCAGTGAAGGTTTTTAGGAAAGGCAGTACTTAGCTTTGGCCACAATGCACAGGAAGCATTGGTGGGTGAAGCCAGATGCAGAACACCAGTGTAGGAGGCTATTTCTGCTGCTCTGTTCAGTGAGGAAGAAGTCCTTGTCTTGGGTGGTGGCAGAGAAGGAGGGTAATGGAGACCTCCTCCAGATGGAGAAATCAGCAAGCCCTGGGCATGTGGAAAGTGGAGGGCAGGACGTAGTCCAGATTTCTGGCTTGGGAGACTGGGGGTTGGTGGCACATCAGCCAAGCCAGGGATCATAGCTGGAGGAAAAGTTGGTCAATTTAACATTGAACATATTGTTTTGAAGAACCTGTTGAATCCATTAATTGATGGCTCCGGCATGTGAGAGTGATCGGAATCAGGAATACAGACCATGAAATTCTAAGCATTGAGGGAGGGTTAAAAATTGTGGCAGTAGCTGAGAATTTCTCAGAAGTCAGTGTAGAGTGGGAAGAGGAGAGGACTAGTATCAGCACAACAGGGAATGCCTCGTATAACACAACGAACACAAAAGGGAAGCAGAAAATTATGATAGCAAGAGAGGCTGATCATTTATCAGGAGAGAAAAATAACACTAGCAATTGTCTTTGCTAATACAGACTCCATGGAGTCTTGGAGTGGAGACCCAAGTGCACTGGGAAGAGGCGTGAATGGGAAGAAGAAAGGACCAATACACGCAAAACTATTCTTTGAAGAAACTTGACTGAGAAGAAAAGGAAAGAGACAAGGAAATCTGTAGAGATGCAGGAGGAAAGAAGCTTTTTGTTTGCTTTTTAAAGAATGGGACAGTCTATTTAAAAAAATGTATATTGGAATAATTTTACATTTGGAGAAAAGTTGCAAAAATCATACATAGCTCCTTTAAGCCCTTTACCTAGTTTCGTCTAATTGCAAGTAATTTCCTCATTGCATGTGACCATTGTGCAATGATCAAAACCAGGAGAATGACATCAAAACAATAATATTAACTAATTTACACACCATCTACATTCTTCTGTTTCAGTATCCAGTATAGGGTCTGACGCTGCCCTCAGCTGTCAGGTCTCCTTATTCTCCTCCTCAGTCTTGCATGACTTTGGTGCTTTTAAAGAGGGCTGGCCAGGTATTCTATGGAACATCTCCCATTGGGTTTGTCCTGTGTTTTCTCATGATTCAGTGAAGCAGTTTTTTTGTAACAACACCACAGAAGTGAAGTTGAGTCCTTCTTGGCTCATCATATCAGGTGGTACATGATGCCATAGTCTCATTTTTGGGGGGTAAGGCGGGTGGGGGGTACCAGGGATTGAACTCAGGGACACTCCACCACTGAGTCCTATCCCCAGCCCTATCTTGTATCTTTCTTTAGAGACAGGGTCTCACTGAGTTGCTTAGGGCCTTGCTAAATTGCTGATGCTGGCTTTGAACTCATGATTCTCCTCTCTGAGCCTCCTGAGCCACTGGGATTACACGCAAGTGGCACTGCGCCCGGTGCCATAGTCTTATTCATTGTGATGTAAACTATGCTCACTTGGTTAAAGGGGTGTCTACCAGCTTTCCTTGTTTTTTTTTTTTTTCTTTTGTGCACAATTACTGTGGTGTTTGCCTAGTGATTTTCTGTTTTTATCATTCTACCTATGTTTATTAATTGGAATTCTGCTGTATGGGAAAGTTTCCCCTTTTCCCCATTTACTTACTTTTTTTTTTTCCTTTGGCGGTGCTGGGGGTTGAACCCAGGGCCTTGTGCATGCAAGGCAAACACTCTACCAACTGAGCGAATCCCCAGCCCCCTATTTACTTATTTATTCAATTATTTGTTTCTATCAGTATGAATCCGTGAGCATCAGTGCAGCTGACTTTGTTGCTCCACTTGTCCCAGGTCTGGCTCTTGGGAGCTCCTTGGGGCTGGCTTTTATGCCTGGGTGACATGCTCCTCTCACTTTGTAGTGTTTGCATGCCAGCTGCATCATGAGGTTTCTTGATCCTTTTGTATTTCCTTGTTTCATATCTGGGAGCAACTATTTTTCTAAGCAGTCCTTTCATTGGAGTTTTGAACTTGACCTGTGTGCTGAAGAGCAGAACCCCAAAGAGATGGAGAATGAAAGCTGCAATTGAGAGAAAAGGGTTAATAAATAGAGAGTTGCTTATGAAAGAAGGCAATGCAAGGGCAGATGTGGGTAAATTTATAGTTGGGGAAAGTTCAGGCATTTTCTATTTGGTGTGTTTGTTTCCTATCATTAAAACAAATACCCAAGATAATCAACTTATAAAGAGGAAAAGTTGATTTTGGCTCCGTTTGGAGGTTCCAGACTGTGATCTGGTGAGCCCGTTGCTTTTAGGCCTCTGGTAGAGGAGAACCCATCAGGGCGAAAATGCATGGTGGAGCCAAGCCATTCCCTTCATGGCCAAGAAGCAAAAGGAAGGAGGAAGAAGAAAGGGCTGGAGTTCCACTATCCCCTTCAAGGGCATGTCCCCAGTGATCTGAAGACCTCTTGTCTCCAATGGCACCAACTGTGGGATCAAGCCTTTACCACATGGACCTCTGGGGGACATTCTAATTCCAAACTATAGCATTTGGTGATGTTTCCTTCCTCAGTAAGGGGGAAAGGGGATTATCTGTTGGAATCAAAGGTGGGAGCAGAGCAGGTGGAGCAAGGGGAGGCCGAGTGGGAGCAGAAGGGTACGGGGCTTGGGCATAGGGAAGGAAGGTGGCAGGTGCTGTGCAGGCCAGGAATCTGCAGGGTGTGTGACAGGAGGAACTTGGGAGTGTGGCTGGAAAAAGACTGGATGCTGGGTCCTGGCTGTGGGTCCTGGGTCCTGGCTGGGGAGGAAGGGGAGACTTGAAGACAGTCCTGTGGGAAGAACACAGGATGTGGATAGGGAGGTGGAGATTTAAAGGAAAGATCCCATTCTCAGTAAACTGGCAGACTAGGTGCTTAGGAATGCAGAAGTCACCTGGGATAGGGGCAGGAGCAGGGGTAAAGAGTGGTACCAGGTGGTGGTGTCCAGGTCTCTCTTATATGTTGGTCCACAGTCCTCTACCCTTGAAGATGAGTCAAGTCAATCCTTAGCTGAAGGCAAAGCTCCTCCCCATACTCTGGGGTCAGATCCAGTGTATAGTAAGAGGGCCTATAAGGCTTAAATGTTCTCAGCCCCAGCTTTGGGGGTTCTTACTGCTGGTGTGGCTCTCACCTGGACTCTCTACCTGTCTGACTCAGGTAGGCCCCTCCCTCTGTGGGCATGAGCTTGGCATCCTACCAGTAATGGTCACTGGGACAATGCTCTTGAGTTGATCTCCTAGTCTCAGACCCACCTTCAGGAAGCATGCTATCTTCTACCTTCTACTGTGTGCCCCCAGGCCAGTGAAACTTCCAATCTTGGTACCCATTTCTGTCCACTCTAGCCACTGGGCAAGTGCCACCTTCCCCATAAGGCTGAAAGGACCAGGGCAGGCTGGTCTGGTCTGTCCCCCATCTACAGCTCAGAGGTTCAAGGCACATTGGTGGGTGAATGCATGCAGGCCTGCTGACGTGCCTATTTATTTTGGTGTCTGTGTGTGTAAATAGGATATAGGGTATATATTTTTGGAATTCTGAGGAACAGGCGGTAGAACTATGCCTGGAAAAAGTTACCCTCATCGTTGCTTTTACTTTCTCTCCTGCTTGGGACGCGGCAAAACTAGCAATGTGCTAGTCCCTGTGTCACCCCACAGGACATGGAGCATTAAGCCGTAGGGCTGCCCTGTGGAGGCAGCTCTATGGAAGAAACGAGGATGACCCCGTTGCATCTTTTCTCCTGGCTCAGCAGTTCTGGAAGAGGCCTCGGGGACTGCTCCTGTGTGTCCAGTGCCATGCTGGGAGGTTTGGGGTATGCCTGCTCTGCAAAACCTGTAGTGGGGCCTCTGGCTCCCTTTTGTCACTGTTGGAAGACCTTCCTGCTTCCTTCCAGACAACTCATCCCAGCTGGGTCATAAATAAAAGAACAATATAGCCACATATTTATAGTCTCTGTGAATCACTGGTGACTAATTTTTCCCATTTTGTCACCCCAAATAGTTTTCTCTTTAGCCTCCTGGTGAGGGCACAGCACCAACCAATCACTTAGATGAAAATGTGCATTTTTATTTAAAAAAATTCCTTTCCTAGCACGGGACAGAAGGTTCATAATTACAAGTATTTAACCAAATAATGACCAGCTTTCTTTCTTTAAAAGTGACATTTTTATCATCTGTGACCAGCTCAGCACAGCAAAGTCAGAGAACTTTTCTCACTGAGTCTCTGGACTAGTAGGACTTTCCAAGGTTCCGTGGTCTGTCCTTTTACACCCAGAGAAGATTTAAAAATGAAAAAAGAAAAGAAAAGAAAAGAAAAAAACCTCCCAGAGTGAAAGGTATCCCTCATATTTTTCCACTGTGTTTGTTGGCCAGATCTCCTTAGCAAAGAAATGGTCTTCCAGTATTTTGGTTTCATATTATTATGTTCCATTTAGTAAACCCAACTTACCAAAAGTAGGCTGGGGCATCCAGTTTCCAATGCCCCAGTGCCTGTGACATGTTCTTGTTTAATACTAATTGCTCCCTGTAAAATCTGGCCTCTTGAATTTTGCTTTTCCATGATCAGCATTCTTCATGACTCCTAACCAAAGGCCCCATCACTCATGCATAACTCAGATAATTTATTGCATTACCTCTGAGGAATTTATTTCCATGGTGTTTCTAGAAAACCCAATAAACTCCTAAATAAAACCACAGAGGGAAGGAGGGAAGGAGGGAAGGAGGGAAGGAGGGAAGGAGGAGCAGGAGAAGGATCTGGAGAGGAGATTGTGGGTGGGTGGGTAAGAAAAGCAAATGTCTGAGGATGTTGTTTATCCAAAAAACAAAATTTTCGGCAGCTAGCATTTCTAAATTACTGAGAAATGAATGGACAAAGCTGTTTGGTAGAGGAGTGAGCCCAGGAGGACTGCATGTGTGTAAGGAGGTAACAAAGTGTGCTGAGAAGGTACAGCCAGCTAAGAGGTGGGGCCCAGACAGGGGGAGTCGGGGAAGAGAGTGGCTGGAAGAAGAGATGGGAGGCCAGGACAGGATGGTTCTGGAAAGCTTTGCCTTGGTCTCCCTGACCTGGCTGAAGTGCAATCATAGCTCAAAGCTGATGTCCTACACCTTTCCCCTAATGACATCTGCTGGGACTGGCTGCCTTTCTGGACTCTCATTGCAATGAGAGTGTTTGTGAAATAATTTCAGCTGGCAGTTGCAGTGATTTCAGACACACAATGTCATTTGCCCTGGAGAGCTCAATAACCTGCTGCTTTGAGTTTGAGTCCATTTCTTGCTCCCAGAAGCAAATGATCTTTCACCTCTGGATCACCACCCAGGACATGTTTTGACCATGGAACCAGGCAGGCTTCAAGGAGCCAGGTTTTGCTGCCTGCCAATTGAGATTTCCCAGTGCTGATTTTACACATTCCTATTAGTTTTTAACGAGTATTTATTTTAATTATAAAATAGCAACTGCAGGGCCATAAACCTAGAGATCATGTGATTGAAAGTGCATGCTTTAATTTTTTAAGGATCTCTGTGTAGAGATAGGTTCCTAGCCTGTTGTGAACTCCTATCCTTGGTCAACTACTCCACAAGGCAGGAATTGAGCACTTACTGTATGCAAAGCCGCATTCTAGATACCACAGAAGGCATGAAAAAGGCTCAACCCTCCTCTCCTGAGGCAGGAAGGAGTGAGAAAATAAGTACTAAGCACTGGCCCCATCAAACCTGCTGCCCTCCCTCGCCCACCTGTTGCTGCTACCTTCTTACTTCTCAAGCCTCATCTTGTCCCACCCCTTTGCCCTCTGTTCCAACTAACAGGAGCTTCTCTGTTCACTGGTCATTCACAGCTGCAGTTTCATGACTTAAAATTCCAGTCTTTCCCTAAATGTCTTCTTTCCTAGAAAGTCTCCCCCGATTAACCCTAAATATGACCCTAACATCCCACTCCCATAAGTGTACCTGGTCTCCAATTTGCTTTCAGGGTCATGACATCTGTCCCACCCCATTGCCGTTTCTTGCTTCATTGTTTGCAACTCTTGCGGGCTCTGTACAGGTGGCAATGGGCTATCTCATCCACACTGCACCCCTGTGCCTAGCACAGTGCTTGGTTCTGAATGAAGGGACCAAGTAAATGGTCTTACAGGAGGGAAGACACGCTGTCCCTTCAAGGTGGATGGAGAGAGGTTCTGTAGCAGTCAGCTTCATGGCTTGGCCTGCTGTAGGGACCCTCTGTTTATCTTACTTCTCTTTCAGGTGACAACATGCTTCTCCCTCTTCATACCCTGCCAGTGGGAGTCCCAGAGAGGTCTTCTCTAGGTCTGGATTGGTCAGGGCTGTGGGGATCTCATCATCCTCCAGTCAGCCACTGGCTCAAACAACTAGTGATCAGTCCTCCATGAAGATTTTCACACAGTGTGGGTGGGTCAAAACTAATGACCATAGGGACTCCAGAACTGTCTTCCCCAAATTCAGACAGGCCCTCATCAAAATTCAGCCAGCAGCTACTATTTACTTTTCAACCTGGGAGGGCCAGATGCATAACTCTTGTTTTGTTTTCTCCCAACAAATAGGGAATCACCATTTGGAAGGCAGGAAAGGGTGGTTACACCCCCAGAGAAGTTGGTCTGGTTGATTCTCTTTTCTCTGCCATAGTGATTTGGCATCATCTTAGCCACCTTTGGAATTCATAAACATTGTATATACATGCACTTATGAATGTTAATTGTGGCATTAGTTTCATAGGTCTGGACAGTAGGGCTAGGTGACACCAGGTCAGGGATTGAGGTCTTTGGAATGAAGCTAGAAGTAGGGACAGCTAGGAACCCAAAGTCTGAGTCTAGTAGAGGGGCCAGAAGTAGAGTCTGTGGTCAAAATCACTGACCAAAGAGTGGGAGTCAGGTGGAGCAGGATCAGGGTGAAAGCAGGTTGGGATCCAGTGAGTGGCCCTGGGTGGCTGCCTGGTGTGCTGAGTATTGGCTGGTGAGCTGGGAGAGTATGGTTCATTGGTGGATCAGGCTGGTTTCAGTGGCTACTGGTGAGGTATATAAAAACAAGGCAAGGTTCATGCTTTCAAAAACACTTAAAACTTTACAGGTGGAAGAGGTGATTAAGTTATCCTATAAGTGGGTTGCCCCATATGGGTTGCCATTCTGATTCAGGTGGCTTTGTAGAGGTGGCAGAGGAGACTGGTGGTGGAGATTAAATACAAACCATCTGGATGGAGTGGAGCGGGCATCAACAAAAGCCTGGCCTCCCGTTGGCTGGGTGTCTGGCTGGGGGAAAACCAAGGTGACTACATCTCCAGTGTTCAAGACCCTGTGCTAAAGCTTATTTCTAGGCAAGCTTTTATTAAAATAGAGTTCCTCATTAGCATCCTCACCACTGCACAGTGAGGAATGGATGAATAATCTCACTTTAAAGATAAGGAATCTGAGGCTCAGAGAAGAGAAGGAAGTTCACCCTAAGACCCGTAAAGTTAAAATTAGGGGATAAGAGATTGAGAGGCACCATAAGGAGGAAGACCCTGAAGCTCAGAGAAAGGCTCCATAGTTCGAACTTACTTTGGAGGCTTTTCTTTTTTTCTTTTTAATTTTTTTTTTAATATTTATTTTTCAGTTCTTGGCGGACACAACATCTTTGTTTGTATGTGGTGCTGAGGATCGAACCCAGGCCGAATGCATGCCAGGCGAGCGCGCTACCACTTGAGCCACATCCCCAGCCTCCTTGGAGGCTTTTCTTTATTTGATTTTTTTAAAAGTAGGACACCAGCGACTCTGTATCATGATATAGGCATTGCAGACCCTATTCAGCTTGGCCCTTTGGGCAACATTTCCCTGGAACTTTGACACATGGAGTGTTAACAGATGTGTAATTTTCCTCAGGCAAAGGAAGGGTCATAGTCTTAAAGGAGCCAGAAAACAAAGACAGGCTTTTAAAGTCCAAGGTCTCCATGCAGGTAAGAGACAGGAATGAGTGAAAGATGTCATATGTGATATGTAAAATCTTTTTTTTTCCTTATAGTCCTCCTCATTCCCTGTCCCACTCAAACCAATACCTTCTAAGCTGGAGAAGGGAAAGAAAGTTTAGAGAGTTAGGTATATTTGGGGACTCTTGGGGGTGTGTAGAGAAGGCAGACCACTCTTATAAGGATGGGACTCAGGTCAGAAGGCTGACTTGCATTTTGTTTCTCTACAGGGAGATGGTGAGCCTCAGAGGGTCCTCCTGGTCACCATGGTGTGGCAGCTACAGAGTAGAAAAGGCAGGGTGGCATGTCTAGACAAAAGACACATGACCCTCATCCTCCCCTTCCCCATGATAGAACATGCAGGTTACTCAGGGCTCCTCCAGGGGGAAAGTGAACCCAGAGAGTGACAAGAGGAAGCAGCAGGTCTGCAAAGTGGCTTTTAGTAGGACAAAGGGCATGGAGCTGACAGGACACCAAAGCATCCAGCATCGGTCCAAGGGTTGGACAAGGGTGGTGTCTACACTAACTTGGAAAGGGGACATGTTTTGGGACTAGACAGGGGCACATTACATCTTAAAAGAAGACTGAAGCAGATTGGGCAATAATAGAGCTTTTCTCTTCATGGAGACTGCACCTCCTGCCTCAGCCCCAGGGAAGCAGTGGGACTAACAATCTTGAATTCAATACAGTTGAATATGGAAATGGCTGAGTAAATGACTTCAGTGACAGCTTTTACCTGGAAGTAGCAATTTGCTGCACTTGCTGGGATGAGGGCTTAAGACAGAAAATAAACTCAATTACAGAAAAGAAAGAAAACCACATCATACAACCAGAGTCTTCTGACTGGGAGAATCACAGCCTGGTATTTATTTCTTGCCTTCTCCATGCTTTTCCCAGCCTGCGTCTCAACCCATCCACTTAAACATGCTGAACTGTGCTCCTGTTTACAGAACTGTGGGCCTTGTATCAAAACCAGGAGCCTAAAAATAATAAAGACAGAAGGGACCTTGGAGATCATTTGATCCAATCCCATCATTTCACTAATGAAGAAGCAGGCCCGGGATGGATGTGACTTGCTCAGGACCCCAACACAATTGAGAGGCAGAGCCCAGAAAACTTGGCCCTGGAATGTTCCCATCACAGTTCCCCATAGCACATTTCCCTGGCCCCTCCTGCTCACCCGGGCAGCATGGCCTTTCCTCCCAGCCCTGGTCTTGTACACAGCCACAGCTCATCACTAGCCCTCTCCAAGTTCAGGGACAAGTTCAGGCCTCCAGTAGGATTCCAACTGCCCAGTCTCTCAGCTTGTCTGTGATCTGGAGCAGATGGTGTCAAGGACAAGGAACAGAGGAGCTGGGGCTAAGGGGGGCTGCCTAGCAGGGAGACTTATGGGCAACCCTCCTACAAAATGACCTCTTGGCCCTGGAATAAAGCACTTCTCCATCACGCCATGGATCATGGCTTGTGGGGGACGACATGACACATGCCAAAGAGTCTTTCCAAGCCACGATTGCGGTGGAGCCATGGCAGCAAGTCTGCCTGCTGGGGCCAGAGAGCTCCCTCCAGGCTGTGCTGAAAGGAAGGAAAGTCATAGACCTCATTGAGTTAGGAGCACTGGCTGCCAGGAGACCACCCCAAACATGGAGACTCAGGGGAACGAGAGGCAGAGCCTCCTTTCTCTAAAGGTCAACTCTAAATCAATGAGTAGACTTACAAGGAGGGCACACACCAGTGTTAGAGTTTACTCTGCCAGCTTTGGGCCAGCAGCTTTGGCTCGCAGTTCCCATCTAATCCTCACAATCTTGTGGACAGATAATCATTCTTTTCTCTCTTTCTTTTTTAAATATTTATTTTTTAGTTGTAGTTGGACACAATGCCATTATTTTATTTATTTATCTTTATGTGGTGCTGAGGATTGAACCCAGGGCCTTGCACGTGCTAGGCATGCGCTCTACTGCTGAGTCACAACCTCAGCCCTCATTATTTTCTTTTTAAGTGATGAGAAAGAATGAGGTGGAGAAAGGCTTGACCAAGATCACACAGTTTTAAGAGAAGATCTGGGATGAGAACACTAGTGTGTTTCACTCTTGCTAGACATCATGGCCTCTCAAGGTGGCTCTATGTTTTTCTTTAGCTCTAAGATAGCACTTGGCCATGCCTCAAAGGTGCCCTGGATCCCCTGGATCTGTCTCTCAGGAGTCTCTTCCTAGGATTCTTTCCTATAAGAATTGGGGTTGTACACAGTAGGTTATAAACAGCTCAGATCACTCCCCTTGCAGATTATGGAGAAGATACTCAGGTGCTTAGCTTCACCTCTGTCTGGCCATGTCTCCTGACTAGCCACCTCTTTCCCAATACTGTTCTTTGGGCAGTAATTGAAACTGGTCCTCAAGATCTGCTGTTGTCTTAATCCATTTTCTGCTGCTCTAACATAATACCTGAACCTGGATAATTTGTATAGAAGAAACCTATTTCTTCTAGTTCTAGAGGCAAGGAAATCTAAGACCCAGATACTAGTATCTGGTGAGAGCATTCTCTCTGCAACACAGCATGACAGATAACATCTCATCACAGAAAGCATGTAGCTCTCCTCCTCATCTGCTAAAGCTCCTATGGTCATCATGAGGGCCCCAGCTTAATGACCTCATCTAACCCTCATTACCTCCCAAAGGCCCTACATCCATATATAATCAACATAAGAATTTGGGGATTAAGTTTCCAACATGCGACTTTTGGGGCACATTCAAACTATAGCATCTGCATTCCCTTAGGGATGGTTTAACATCTGCACTGGGAACAACATTCAGTGAAGGAGGATCACCTACGAGCAGAGCCTGATGTAACTGAAAGAGACCTGCAATAAAGTTGATCTTACATGGTGGCTAGTGGTCGGCGCAGTCAGCACGGAGCCATATAGAAATTAGAACTCTATGGTGAACGGTTCCTGAAAGTGACTGTAGTATTACTTTAAAACAAGTCAGTCAAATTATTTTTTTCTATTCTCACTTGGTGGGTTCTTGAGTTGTAATCTATGGTCAGAGCTAAAGTTTTCCTTGGCATCATGAATAGTTTTTATCCTCACTCTGTTCCTAATCCTCATATCCACTGATTCTCACATATATAAAAAAGATAGAGGTTGGTGCTTTTGCTAAACTAATGATGGGGACACTTACCAACCCTGCTGCGGTCCAGAAATGGTGTTCCTATGCTTCTCCAAAAATTTGCTGATGATTCTAGTTTCGTCTGTATCTCTCTCTTTCTCATAAGCTTCTCTCTCTCTCTCTCTCTCTCTCTCTCTCTCTCTCTCTCTGTCTCTCTCTGTCTCACACACACACACAAACACACACACACACACACACACACACACACACACACACCGGATCCCCTCATGACATCCCAGTTTCAAGAACATGGACCATGAAGCTGCAGATGGTCTGTTGACAGGGTCAGAACTGGGAAGATCCCCTCTGTCTCCCACCTCGGCCCTCAGCTGGGTCTGTTCCTTTTCCTTGAAGGGTTAAGGTCCTGCAGTAACTAAGGGGGGCCCAGAGTGGCCAGCACTGGCCAGCACTGGCCCTGACTCAGAGCAGTGTGTGGGCCCCTGCTACATCCTGTTGTGAGGAGTCTGCTCTAATCCCCAGGCAGGGAAGGAAGTCAGGAAAGGGAAACAGCATGGGGTTTAGAGAAAAGACTGGCCCTTGCTCCTTCCTGTGTGACGGTTTTCCTGGGCCGCTGTCAGTTCCCTAGGAGCAGTGTGTGCTGTTGAGGAGCCATCTTGGTCAGTGCCAGAGATCAAAGGAAAGGTAATTTAGGCAGCACTAAAAATAGGTCCTGGAGTTATTTTAGAGCTGTTTTGCTAGCATTGGAGGAGCAAATCTTGGATTTTGCTCAACTTCCTGTCAATCTCATGAGCTTCTTCCTCCCTCCTGCTTACTCCCTAGTCTAGTGGTGTTCAAAGGCTTCTGACTGTGACTGCAGTTGTTTTACATTCAGACTTTGTACACGTAGAGGTGCACACACACAAGACTGAAAAGAACCTTGAAACCTTTGGTTAGGGCTCACTTAGTGAAACCAATGACCCAACACTAGCATTTCACACCCACAGTTTGAAAGCATTAGCCTTCCTTTTTCCTTGGCCTTGATGAATGCTCGAACTACCCAGTTATATGCCCTGGTAAAAGCCACCTAGATATTATAGAGCACCCCACTTTCTTTTTAATTCATAGAAAGAACATTGGTTAATAATCTCTGATTTCCTGAAGTTGTGTGATTTGGTCTCTTCTTCCTTTAAAAAGAAGCACCTGTAGTATTTCCCAGGCCAGTCTGGCTTGAGACTCAAAATGTCAAATTTAACACCCTAAACCCTCTGCGGGTATAGCTATGGCATTGTGGGAAAAGATGAGCTTTGGAGGTGGACAAGTAAAACCCCGCCCTCCCACGCAGGAGGTGTGTGACTTCCTCAGCTTCCCAGTCCTCCGTTTCCCTATCTGCATGTGAGGATGATTCTTTCATATGGTTGTATGGGAGTTAGGTATGACAATGGCCATGAAGTCCTTACCCAAATGTTTGGCACACAGCAAGTGCTCAAATTGTAGTGATTCAAATTGTTGCTGTAATAATTCAAACCAAGAGAAAAGTCATTCAAAGATTTATCTGACTTGAAGTTCCTTGGTGATCAAAATAACTGTGTAGTTGCCAAATCTTCCTTTCCTCTGCCTCTTCAAAAGCCGTCCTTGCCAAGTGTGAAATCTCCAATGCCACAGGAAGGCTGGGTACGATGCCCTTGATCAGCCACGTCTACCTGTCGTCTGGCCTGCCACAGTGAGAGTGATCTAAATCTCTTTGGAACCCGGTGATATTTTCCACCTGTACGAGCTCCGTGAAGCAGAACACCGCGCACATTCTTTCATTTGTACCTTCTCCAACCCTGTAACGCCTGTCCTCACTCTTCTATTTTCTTATCCTGGCTGCCCAGATAGGAAAAATTTACAGTTTTCCTTCTCTCCTCCTCTCCCCTCCCCTCCTCTTGCTTAAATTGCTCCCCCCATCCACCCCTCTCGTTCCTCCCCACTTCCCTCTCTTCTTCTGTTTTCTCCCCCCTTCCCCTCCCCTCCCCTCTCATTTCTTTCTTTTTTTTTTTTAACTGTGGGTAGGTGGGTGGGTGAGTGACCTTCCCCTTACTAAACTTCTTTGCAGTACAGTTTTATCAACCTCACCTCCTTGATTTAGAATGTTACCACTTGCAGAGTATTTTCAGATCTCCTTGGTCCTCGTGTGTATCTGGGGTTTGATAGCCAAGTACAACGCCTATTCTACAGATTTAGGAAGACTAAAGTGACCTGCCTAAGGTCCTTCAGCTTTCACAGACAGCAGGCTCAGGGTTTCTCATGTCAGGGCCAACAATTTTCCCAACACACCTGTTTCTTTAACATAGTACTGAGGAGAGCCCTTGACCTGAGAAGGGGCTAGTGGCAGCTATTAGACAAGTAACTAGGTATGCTGGGAGGGGGGACAATCACAGGTCAGCTGGCCCCACTTATAGGTGTCAGTTATTTTTGTGGATCATCACCAAATATTGCTTACAATAAGCATTTTTGACTCATCCTGATCTTTACTATAATTTCTAATTATTATATTTGTTTACCTATTTTTTTTTCTTTACCCAAATATATGTCCCATGTGGGAAAAGATGATGTTTGCTGTGTCACCTTTGTAGACACAACACCTAGCACAGTGTCTGGCACAACAAATATTTACTGCTTGAAAAATATTTCTGAATGAATGATGAAATATGCCACCTGTGGAGAGACTGGGCCAGGAAGCCTGTTTTATTGATGTGGCTTACCTAATAGCCGTGTTCTTTGACCTGGATAATATTAATGCTTTGACTTATGCACACAAAGGCAGTGGGGAATTTGAGGTAATTATGTGAGTAATTTGAACAGAATGGACCACCCACTCTGACCCTAATTATCTGGTTATTTTAGGTGAAAGTAGCTTAAGACCTGAAGAACTGGAATGATTGCCTCATCTCTCCATTTCATTTTATTCTTACAGTTCCAGCTGCAGACAGATGTGGAAATGCTTTCCTGTTAAGCATGTGAGACCTACAGCAGACACACTCAGGTGAGTACTACAGGTGTGAATATGTGCATATATATGCACACACCAGCAGGAAGGAGAACAGGAGTTTGGGAGAGTAACAGGAAGGAGCAAATCAGTTCACTTTCCACCATAAGAAACCCTCCACACCTGGCTTCCTGCAGCCTCCAGCATACCCCTCTCTTGAGTGTGCACTGCTGGAACCAAAGAAATTGTAATTTGACCTTGACAAACTTGATGAGTGCTGAACTGGAAGTTCATGGGCCGAAAGGACTGGGCTGACCGACACAGAGCTAAAAGAGATACATTCTTCAGTTTTAGATTTAAAAACAAAACAGAAAATTTGAGCCTAAGCCAGAAAGTTTGGCTTTGTCATGTCAGTAGTATTTAACGATGTTATTTGGCTGGAGCAGCAAGTTCTGCAAATGAAAAACAACTTGGCCTCTTTTCTCCCTTCTTTCTTTTCCCTGTTGGTTCCCAGCTCAGTCCCTCACTCTCCTGAAGCTTCACCTCTGTAGTCTAAAGGCACCTGGGACAAGGAAACCCCCATGTGCACTGGATACCAATCCAGCCCACAGCCTGCTCCCTGCTGTGATGCTTGCTTCTGAGGGACCCAGATGTCCTGGTTATCCATTCTGACAAGAATGGTGTTGGGGTGGGTCAGAGTAGTGTCCTCTCATTTTCAGGAAGGAGAAATGGGGGTTCAAAAAAGAAAAGAAATGGAAGGGCAGGGGACACGGTACTTACTATCTATTGACTAGTTGCTCTGCATGAGTATTTGAAGTTCAAACATCCCTGAGAGATGGTTATGGTAGGTAATAATATCCCCATTTTAGAGATGAGAAAATTGAAGCTCACAGGGGTTAAGTGTTCTACTGAAGGTCACCTGATCTGTGGGTGGCCAAATCTTTTGTATTCAAAAAAGTTAACCATGTGTAGGGAAATGATTGGCTCTGAGTCAGTGAGGCGTTTGAGGTCCATAGCAAAATGTCTCTAGCCTCCATTTGTTCTCAGCTTGGAACATTTGCTGAGGATTTCTTCCTCAGGCCTCATTCATCTCTTTCTTCCTCAAAGATTTCCTTGATTCCCTAAGCCAGAAAGAATCACTTCCCTCTGTCCCTTCCATGTATCTATTAATTATCACCTGTGTTGAAGCATCAGTCAGGTGTGACTTGTGGTGTGGTTGCTGGGGTATCCCCATCTTGAGAAGGCCAAGGTTTATGGAGACAAGGTGTGAGTACCAGGGAAAAGGAGACTTCTCCACTCCCAGGCTTACCAGCACACTTAAAACCTAGAGTCTGTGATTTCTGTGCTTTCATGGGTCTTGCTAAACTGGGGCCTAACCACATGGCACTTGGGTGCTAGCAAAAAGCCTCTATCCTATTGGGAAACATGGAGGACAGAGGAGAGTGGCGTGGGATATGGGCTCTGAGCTCCCCCAAAGCAGGGTGTGGGTCTGCTCAGAAGTGGTATCAACTGAATAAATGAATAACAATTTGCTGTCGCTACTCTCATAAGCCACCTCGTTAGTCCTGCGTCATAAAAGCCACGGGAAGAGGGTAGGGTAAATATCATTCCCCAACTCCCTCTGTGTTTAGCCTAAGCATGACGGTGTGATCGGGCACTGGCTGCTCTTCCAAGGCCTGCCTGGGTCACCAGCCCTGCCTTTTTGCCTACTTTGCATGGCATCTGGGAGCTGCACAGCTAAGGTCTGACCTCTCTGCCTCTTGGCCTACCTCTGGTGGCTCTGTGCTGCAATCTCCTTGGTGTGACCCTCCACCTTGCTGAGAAGATAACACAGAGAGAACAGACCACAGGGTGGCCCAGGGCCTTAGTCCTTTTCTCAAGCTAAGAAGGCCTAACAGAAGTGGCAAAGGTGTGCCCAAGCCTGCAGCTCTGGCCGTGGCTCTCCACAAAAAACTAGCTTATCCTAAGTTGAATCCAGGGAACAAAGTGGTGTGTGTGGGGTGTGTGTGTGTGTGTGTGTGTGTGTGTGTGTGAGAGAGAGAGAGAGAGAGAGTGTGTGTGAGAGAGAGAGAGATTTTACACACATGTGCATCCATAGGAGCCTCATAGTATTTAGACAGACTAGAATTTTCCTGGACAGAGTTTGAGGTTCTCTCCATTTTATAAACAGGCGAACAGTGTATTTTAATTTACCTGAAACATGGGACAACAAAAAAAAATGCAGGCACAACCTTCAGCCACCCAGGAGGAGGGGTCCTTGCTCAGCTGTTTCCTCTCTTCTTCCTAAAAGCCCTCTTCCACTGCCCTGTGTTCTGGATCCCTTCCTTTGCTCACCTGGAGCATCCCTCCTGTCCCCACAGCCCGTGTTAGAAACTAAGCAGAAGGTATCTTTGAGGAAGTAAAGATCCTGCTCAAGATCTAGCATCCCCATGTGTGAGTCCCTCCCTGCCCTCCACGGGGCGCTGCCTATCCCAGCAGGCACACATCTACCTAAATGACACTTGTGCCCTGAGTGCTCTTTCTCATGTCACTTTGCAACAAACCCAAGTGGGGATGACCTCCTTGCCTGCACTGTACAGGTGAGAAGCCTGGGGCTCAGGGAAGTCAAGCCCTTGTTCATGGCCCTCACTCAGCTCATTCCCATCAGCAGTGGGATTGGACTCTCAGCCTTCCTGATCTCTAGTTTACATTTTGGCCCGGTGGGCTGTAGACTGCTTCAGAGTAGATGCACAGTGTCCCAGGATTCTCCAGGCCCTCTGGGCCCTGAGTGACCTGGCAGGAGGCCCAGGGCTGCGTGTCTCCCTCTACCTCCTGTCCGCACTCCAGAAGCACCAGCCCAAGCTGATAAGCATGGCAGGTGCTTGTGATGTGCCTCTGACACCACTGGAGCCCTCTGAGGAGTCAGCTTGTGGGTGTCTGCAGAATCCAGTGCCCCTCCCTCACCTTGGAAGGGGCTCCTTTGACACCAGGACCACTGGTTCCTCTAGAGCAAGTGGCCCCAAAGAGCTCTGGCTCCCGGCTGTCAGCACCAGCAATCCTACCCAGGAGCTAAGCCCTGGCACTTCCCAGGTCTGCAAGAGGCCAGGATTCCTTTCCAGAAAACACTTCATCTCTCTCTAAGTCCAGGGCCTGTTCCCTGGCCAGTGTCTTCATAGTTCAGATTCCTGTAACTTGAAGAGGTTGGTGCCGTGAGCACTGGACTTTCCAGCCGAGTTCCATGAGTAAGGTGACGCCTTTCCATTAAATGCCAGGTCCTTGAGTCCTTTCAGCCACTAATGAATTAGAGGAACTCTCCCCAAATTCTGGTGGCCTGTGATCCCACAGAGATACTGCAGGTGTCTCTATCAAAGGAGCTTCCATCACAGATGAGCTGGATGGAATAAAACCCTGGGGCCAAGGGTTCCAGAACTGGATGGAAAGGGAATAAGTGAAAGTTGGCAGTGATGATGCAGGACCTGGGGAACTGGCCTCAACGGATGCAGGAGTATCTGCACCTGACACACATGAGGAGTGTCATCTTACATGGGGTACTTTCTAAAACCAGTGCATAAGAAAATGTGGTATGGGATCTTCCTCACCTCTTCCTTCTGATGGAGCAGTCTTGCATTAAGATGGACCAGCCACTGTTTCCATCAGCAGGGGAACTGATGCTGTCATTTTGTGTGAACATGCAATGCAGTGATTACCTTACACATAGGGACCATGTGTTGTGACAAGCATGTACCTTTAAGCACTAGACCTCTAAGCACTCAGTGTGGGAGCTGGGCTGACTCAGGCAGACACATGCTTTCCTGCTCCCAGAGCATGTGTTCACTGATTGGAGCAGCAGCCCAGTGACCCACAGGATTTCACCTAGTTAGTGGCCATGTGATATGGTTGCACAGTGTTTACACTCTGCATATCCATGCCAGGGTGTAGGCTGTGCAAAGTAGCAGGGTCAGGCAAATGACATAAAGAAGCTGAGAGGCTGCACCTGAACTTGAGCCCCATGCACCTAGGCCACCTTTGGCTTCTTTCCACTTGGATTCTTCTTCTGGTATGGCTGTCGCTCTGTTTTACACAGGGAGGCAGCCTGGGTTGGTTTCTCTACAAAACAATGAGGTTTCTCTAGTGCACTCTCGTTTTGGAGTGGCCATCCTGCCCTGCACTGAAAGGAATCATTAGTTAAGGGGGTCATTAATCCTACAAACTGGAGGCAGACGTCTCCTCCCTGGTGTAGAAAGAGGGACAACAGGTGAGCCACTGGTGTGATTCTATCTGTCAGAGCAAATTGACAAGTGGTAGGGGAAAGGCATGGGGCACTTTAGATGACAAAGCAATAGCTGAGACAGAAGAACTAAGTAGCCCAAAAGGCTTGTGGTTGGGAAAATGAAGGGGAGCCCCAGAACTAAGGAAGCTGTCATTGAAACAGAGGAGATAAGGGAAAGGGCACCTAATTGTGCCTAGATTGCAATAATCTGAAAATTTTTCTTCAAATGACTGGGTTTTTTTTCCCCCTTCTGGAAAACCATCTGAAAGCAGAAGTAACAAGTGTTCTGCAAATATTTATACCAGCATCTTAAAATTCATGACTTTTTATGATAAAAGTAGTACAATGTTTGATATGAAAAAGGAAAATATCAAAGTAATAGATAACCAACAAAGGGAAAGCCTTGTACAATTCCACCATGCTGGAAAAAAAAATTCAGCGGTTTAGGGTGTTTATAATAGGATTTTAACCAATCATTTGTTTATATAGTAGAGACATGTGCAGAAGGGCAGCAGTGTTTGAGCTTGCCTTCTACCATCTGTCTGGAGAGAACTCTGCCAGCCTCTTAAAAAACAGAGTTCCACCATCCACCTGATGGCAGCTTCCTGCATTTTCTGATATGGAATGGAGTCCCCAAGCCCTGGGTTGCCTTTCCAAGTCAGTAGTAGCAATGTCACCTTGTACACTTCTCACTGGTGATTGGTATGATGTCTGAGATGAGGGACAATATATTGTAATATAACAATAAATATATGCTTGGGCTCAAAGAATTTTTTTTTTGAGGTAGTTCAGATTTGGCCTAGGGTCTCACACATGCTAGACAAATGCTCTACCACTGAGCTGCATCCCCAGCCCTATATGTTTGGTTTCTGCCTCCTGGTTCTTGACACAGAGCTCCTAAGTCCCTTGTAAAATGCTCCTTGTGCTAAGAGAAACTTGTTCTGATAGTTGTTTTTTCTTTTTGACACTTTATAATGAACATATAGAGTCTATACATTATACATTGTCTGTTGATCAAATCAAGGTAGTTAGCATCTCCAGCATGTCATGTATTTATCATTTCTTTGTGATGAGTACTTTCAAAAACCTCTCTTCCACTGTTTCAAAATATGCGATACCTTTTGATACAGAGTTCCTAAACCCCTTGGAATTTCCTGCGTGACAGGAGCAACTTTTGTTCTGCTGACATGACTCTTAGTGGGCTCCTGAAGAGCCTCAGAATGGGGGCTGGTGGTCAGAGGAACCAACCATGTGATTAGATGGTTGGAGATTTCAGCCTCATCTCAATCCACCTCCACCTCCATGTGGGGGTAGGGCTGAAGGTTGAGTGGATCTCCAATGGTCAATGAGTGAATCATCATGCCTCTGTAATGCTGCCTCCATAAGCACCCCCAAAGGATTGAATTCACAGAGCTTCAAGACAGCTGAACACGTGGAGCTATCTGGAGGAGGCAGAAAGGGTGACAGCTTCATGCCCCTTCCCACATGCTTTACCCTCAGCATCTCTTCCATTTGGCCGCTCATCTACATGAAATAAATGGTAAGCATGAGTGTTTCCCTGAGTACATGAGTTGCTCAGGGAAGTATAAATGAATTGAACCCAAAGAACGGGGTGTGTGGGAACCTTGATTTATAGCCAGTTGGTCAGCGGTTGAGGTGACAAATTATTATTTGCCACTGACATGGCAAGTTGGGAGCAGTTTTGCAGGACTGAGCCCTCCACCTCTGGGATCTGGTGCTACCTCCCAGTAGATAGTCAGAATTGAATTAAATTATAGGCCAGGCAATTGGTGTCCACTGGAAAAATTGCTGGTTTGGTGTGTGGGGACACAGCCCCCACACAGCTGGTGACAGAAGCACTATGTGACAGCTGATTTTTCTCATCTCATCCGGGTCCTTCCCCAGGACTGCTCCAGGTGAGCAGCATCACTACAAACGCTGCCTTGTCCTGAGGCTCAAGGATGGGCAGCCCACCCTTGCTCACCCCTTCTCTATTGTTGTCTCACAGAAAGAGGCGTCAGGAGACGCATCCTATCCAAAGAGTTTAAATACATTTAAGTCCTTCACCATGAGGTTAAGCGACTCACTCAAGGTTACACAGCTAGTAAATGGGAGAGGCGATTCTGAAGTCCATCTCTGGCTGACAGATATTAGAAGACTTTGGTGTTACAAGTTACACACTTAGGATAGCTGCTTCACCTCCCTATGGTGATGACCCCCACAGCAAGAAGGCTGGTTATCCACCTTGGCTGTGGTTCAGAATCACCTGAGAAGCTTAAACAAACTGATATCTGGGGCCTCAGACTTCACTGATGCAGATCGAGGTCTGGGCACTTGCCTGTGGCTCCATGCTGGGCTGTGGGTCTGGTCCTAAGGCCCCAAACAGGGGCAGGCTCGCTGCACTGTCCATCACGAGAATATAGATGTGGTAACCCCCACATTATTTTATCTCCCTAGGTCTGGTTACCCAGCTAAAAGTTCTCCTTCCTAAGAGAACATTAGAGTCCAAAATTGGTGACCTTAGGCAAATGGCTTAAGCTCTCTGTGCCTCTGCTTCCTAACTATAAAATGAGGATAAAACTAGTGCTTGTCTCCCAAGACAGTTGGGAGACTGAAGTGAGATGTAACATGCCTAGCCACCTGGAGGGCACTCTGTCTCCTTTCCCTCCTCTCCTAGGGGCACTGTCTCCAGCAACTGTGGCTTAGTGGCATGACATACTGTGTCTCTAAGGTCTGGGAGCCAGGATCACACTGAAGAGGCTAGATCAAGGGACACTAGGGTCAGGGGCTGGTGAGAGGGTTGCCTCCATGGCCTTATTGGCTCTTCCCAGAGTGCTCCCTGAGATGCCCAGGTACAGGGCTGGCTTTGTAACAGGGAAAAGTACCTGCCCTACCCTGCTGCCCAACTTTTGGCAGATGTTAGGCAACTTGCTTCTTTGAAATATTCAAGCACCTGAGAGCCTCAGGCAGGTTGTGGGCACTGACTCTACCCTGCGCCTTCTAGATAGTCCAGCTCCTGACTGACACCCTCCCCCCGACTCCCACCCAACCACCTCCACCAATACACATCGTCTATTTTTTCTCCCGAGGGTTGTGCTGTGAATTACTAGGTTTTGTTGGGCTTGCCAAGGCTTGGCCCATGGAAGGCCTGGCTTCTTCTTTGGGTCTCAATCTCTGGCCTGTCTCTGCCTGGTGCAGCCGGCAAAGCTGGAAGGATCTCCACCTCTGGGAAGGAGGGAGCCTGAGCCCCTTGCTTGGCTTTGCCACCTGGTTGCTTTGTGATCTTGGGTCTGCGGTATTGCCTCTGGAGAGGAGCTTGGATACAAATTCTCCTGGTTGACTTCATGTACCTCTGTCAGGCTGGCATGCAGAGCAGAGTTACTTCCTCATGGCTGGAGAAAAAGCTAGGAAGCAAATGGGCCAGGAGGTGAATCAGATTTCTGGGCCTTCTGGTCCAGCCTGCTGAAAAGTGCCCCACACTCTAAGCCTGGACGCCTGGTGGGCAGTCGGGCACAGCCATGAACTGACTACCACCTTAGACAAATCCTACAACTTCTCTGGACCTCATTTATACAGCTGGGCCATAAGGCAGTTGATCTAAATCAATTGTTTTCAAAAGTGAATTATTTAGTACACTAGTTTTGAAAGCTACTTCTCAAAAAAAAAATTCTCCAAGATCAAATATGTTTTGAGGGATACTGTAAACTCCCCCTCTTATGATCACATCTTAATGTATACATCAGCTTATTAAAGTGCCCAGAAGCCCAGTAACAAAGAGGCCAGCTCAGCTTCATTGATCTCAGTTCCTCTTAAACTTGTTTGACCAGGACACCTTATTTTCCCTTTTAATTCATTACCATCCTGGAGCACTAAAGTTTGGAGACAGACAAGTGAGAAATCCAGAGTTGGGCTTCTCAAGCTTAAAAGTGCATGTAGAACGCTGCGGTCTTATTAAAATGCAGATTCCAGCTCAGCAGTTCTGGGCAAGACCTGACTTCCTTCCAATGAGCTCCCATGAGATGACCATTGGGCTGGTCCAGGGAGCACACACAGAGTCACACAGGACTGGAATCCTAATGCTCTTTGCACTTTCAATATTGGAAGCAATCTAGAAGCTGTAATGTGGGGACTCTGAACTCACAGAGACCTGGGATGGGGCCCTGACTCTACCACACACTAGCAGTATGACCTTGGGCAGTGCCCTCCCTGGACATTGGTTTTCTCATCTGCAATGTTTAGACATTCATCACATTTGCTCCACAGGATTATTTGAGGATTAAATAAAACTATGCAAATAAAATCTATAAGATCCAACCCATGATAGGAGCAAAGTATACCCTGGTCACCACTGATAATAAGAATCCACAGTGCTGGCCTTTCTGTCTGTGGACCAACACTACCTCCATGCCTGCCTCTGTGCCTTTCTTTGCATTGCTGACTGCTGTACTCAAATCCCTTTCCTTCCCATATGAAAGCCATGTCTATTTATGTGACTTTACTTGACCTCTCTAGCACATTCTAGTAATTTTTTTTTTTGCTTTTAGGGAATCAGAGGAGCTGAGAGATCATGGCTTCTTTGAAAACCATAGAGAAACTATACCAGCAGACTTTAGTAATAGCACACCTCCCTCAGGTGGAAGCCTGGTTGACATGGGTCCTCCTGACCCTATCCTAAGGGGGTATTGATTGACAGGTGAGGCACAAGGGCTTGCACTAATCATCACCTTACTCTGGACATAAACCCTGCCAACTGTTCTTGAATCTGTGTCACACACAACTACTGTGAGAATATGACTCATTTTATTCACTTTTGTGTTCCTCCATAAGTGTATCTGCAAATGAATTGTATGAAAACCTTTATATAAATATGTTCACATGGTTTTAAAAAAATTCTTTGTCAGCCAGCAAGGACTATATTTGGGCTCAAACTCCCTGCTTAATTGCAATTATATTTAGACAGTGGATAAAGACCCTGACACTAAGGCTGCCCTCGATACTGGAGGCTGAAGAAGGAAGAGTGAAAGAGGATCATCATTTATTGACTAACTCTAGGTTTGGCTCCTGGTATTAGTCATTTCATTTAAGTCTCCCAGCAACCAAATGTGGTAGGTATTCTTATTCATCAAGCTCAGAAAGGTTAAGGACTTTGCCCAAGACACATAGCTAGTAACGGTGGAGCTTCAGTTAGAGTTCAGGATGATTGGACAACATTCTAACTCTAGGCTTTCTCTGCTCCAAGTCTGCTTGGCAGAAGATGACCGCCTTCAGTTTCCAAGTTTTACCTGCTATTGGAACACCTGGGGACAAATTCAGTCCTCTCTCAACCTGATCCCAGTCTTGGGTCAAATTGCACCTCTGGACGAACCACATGTGTCTATAGAGATGTGTCACACTATACAAGCAAGGCAGTTTCTCTCCCACCCACACAGGTGAGAGTAGGAGAAAGGAGACTTAGTCACAGCCTGGGACAGGTTTGCTGTAACTGTCGGGCTGTGGTGTACTTTCAGGGCAGTAATTGGTAAGAAAGATATTGAAAAGGCAGATGAGATGGAAAATGTCATCTTGACCCCATTTCACTGTCATTCTGGCTGCTCTCTGACCCTATTCAGGTTAGCTCAGTCAGCTGCCCAGCCTGGAGTGGGCTGCCTTCTCTGGCTGCCTTGTCCTTCAAGAGTTCCAGGGATGGAAACTGATCACCTCCTTACCCCCTATCTCTGGCCTAGATGGAAGGTATTCTTCCATCTTGTTGCAGAGAATAGTGGGTGGTAAGGATGCTGGGCTGACTCACAGCTGCGTACAGCTGGGAGGTTCTGGACCCCTGGCTCCCTGCCACCTTGTGTCCCATGCATCATTCCTCTGCCTACATTTCCAGTGATGGATGGGGGAGTGAGACATGACCCATGTTACAGGCCTAGGTGAAAGACCACTGGAATTAAGACTTCCTGGAATCTCCACAGGGTTGCAGGGTAAAACAAGGTGAAGTGCAAATTGATTGTCAGCCATTCCTCCAGACTCCCAAAAAATGAACTTGGAGAGTCTCTTCAGTGCCCACCACCAACTGGTCATCCAGATAGACAAACACCACTCAAAACTGACAGCTAACAACTTGACAATTGTCCTCTACACCATGCCAATGTGAGCACACTTAATTAATAACCTGGGATGCCCCATCTCCTCTCCACTCAGGGGCTCAGCGCCTGTTTCTCAGTCACCACTGCTAGCTGAGTTTTAATTATCTTTCGGCACTGTCGCCTCTTGGAATGCTGGAAAGGAAATTCTCGCCCAGCTGGGCTGCAGCCAGGCCTGTTGGAGAACAATGTGCATTGCAGTGTTGATCTCTCAGCTGGAACGCCAGCCCTCAGACTGGAGAGGAGCTCTCTGCTGCCAACCCAAAGGGAGAGGGAACTCAGTGCCTTTTCAGCACTTCTGTGGCGGCAGAGCTCCTAGGACTTAAAATAATGACCTCCTTGACAAGTTTTTAAATTTTGTTTTTGGGAGTGTCTCATTGGACAAGGCCACCTGGGTCTTGGATTATTTTTTAATCACACCGGGAGGATGATTTTTTCCCTTTAATTGTAACACTGGTGTTTATTGAGTATCTACTCTGTGGCAGGCACTGTGTTACATTGCACCACCTTATTCATGCCCTGCAGCTGTGTTAAGCAGGTAACATTTCCTTCTCTTATTTTATAAATGAGAAGCTAAGTCCCACTACTCTGCCCAAGGTCATGTAGTGCCCAGCCCAAGGTCAGATAGTAATGAGCAGAAAAGCAGGCGGTGCTGGAATTCAAACCCAGCATCCTGATCCTGGAGTCTGCCCTTTAGCCATGACCTTCTTCCTCTGTGCTTATTATTGGGTATGTATTCAGTTCTATGAGCCTGCCTGAGAATAGTACTGGAAAAACACCCCCCAAAGACACTGACCTTTGGGTTTGTAGCTTTTCCCCTTTCCATCCTGGCAACCTGTGTTCACCCCCTCCTGGCTAATGGAGGAACTACGCAGGCTCCAGGTACTCTACCCTTCTCACCACCGTGAGTGCTCAGAGCTGGGGTTCTGTGGACAAGGGCGCAGACAGACCACTGTTTCCAGCAGGGAATTGCTATTTGGCTGGGATGACAAGTTCTTGAATGTTCTCCAGCCATCCCCATGGATGTTTCAGGAAGGAGGTGGCTCATTCCCTCTTCACCAAGAAGAGAAGAACCTGGGTACTCTAAGGACAGAGGAGTGAGCTGGACAGGTTCGCCAGTCCTGCTTCTGCAACTTATTGTTCTTACCACCTTGACCTTGGGCCTACAATTCTACCCCTCCACTTCCCTCTGTATCCTTCCTCTCTAGCATTTTCTAAGCCACAAAGCCAAGAAGCCATTATTTGAAAGAAACCCCTGGCCAAATGTATTGGGTTGGATTATGTTCCCCTGAAAGACATGTCCAAGTCTCAACTCTGGCTACTTATGAATGTGACCTTCTTTGGAAGTAGAATCTTTACGGTTGAAATTAAGTTAAGGCAGTCTAGATAAGATCCCAGGGAACTCATGGCTGGGTCCCAAATCCAATGACTAGTGTCTTTAGAAAAGAAAGAAGAGGAAAACCCAGAGGTATACATAGGAAAAGACATGGGAAGGCAGAGACAGAGATTGGAGGCATGTCACCACAAACCAAGACACCTGGAGCCACCAGAGCTAGAAGAAGCAAGAGACTTCATGGGGCACAGCCCTGATAACACCTGATTGTGGACTTTAATCCTCCAGCACTGTAAGAGAATAAATTCCTATTGTTTAAAACCACCCAGTTTGTGATCATTTGTTATGGGGCCCTAGGACTCAAATATACTAAGGCAAGACCTCATCATCAGCCAGGTCACTGGAAGGCTCCGCAGAGCAGAGCCAGCTGGGACTTTGGGGCTGGCCAAGGTGCCAGCCTTATCCTATGCTCAGCTGCCTGGGTATGTTTGCTTGTCTGGCTTCTGTACCTTTGAGGTCAGGGACGGAAATTGGTGCTTGTACCAGCTGATCACAGTTACAAATGCTTGGAAATCCATGGTCCATTTGGTTGTGGAAAGCAACTCTCCCTCCTCCCTTCCCTAACCAGACACCAACTATACCCTAGTTGGATGGAAGAAGGCTGGAGCCAAGGAGGCTAAATTCCTCCATGAATTGGAGAAACAGAATTTTGTGAAGGGCCCTGGGAAGCTCACAGGGAAGCAGTTTGATGGTGTTTCTTCTTGAAGGATGGCAGAGTCTCGCAGGGAGGAGAAGAGGAGGAAGAGAGACAGGGGTTAAAAATGGTTGCTTGAGGAGGTCCTGAGCAGGACTGATAAAAGACATGTAGACAGTGGTGGCTGCTCCCTCTTCTCTGCTGAAATCTTGTCCCCCTCCCTGTATACAGAAGGGTAAGCATTGGTGCACCAACACTCTTGTGTCTGTGCTTCGTTGGGGGATGCAGGGAGAGGGATGCCCTGTGCATGTGGGAAAGCCACATGGAGAGTAGGGAAGAGACTATGAGGGCGTGTGGATGGAGGACTCACTGCAGAGCTTGTGTCAATTAAAAATTTTAAAATTATTCAAAAAAGAAGGCTCAGAGAATGATCCCTGACTCGATTCACAGAACCATACAGTGTCGAGTTGGACTCCACTGTTGCTTCCCGGTGTTGTTATATTATCCTGTTGAGTCCTGTTAGCCTTTATTTGTGTCCCCACTTTTGATGGATGGATAAATACATAAATAGAGACAGAAGAAAAAACACCGCAGTAGACAGAATTGCCTTCAAGTTAAGTGATATGATGTTTTTTAAAGCAAGATACACGTTCACTCCAAACTATTTATTTTCATATGTGTGTGCAATTATGGGCCGGAAGATAACACACCAGTGTCTTGGTGGTTTTGCCAGAGTTGTGGTGTGGCACACTTTCATATTAATTTTATAGATTTTCCATGGTTTTCTAATGTGTAATAATGAGCATAAAAAAAAAAGAATTCACTGGAAAACAAGAAATTCGATGGGAAGAAATGTAAGCCTGCAGAATTCCTGGGGAGAGAGGGCAATGGGAGGCTTGGAATTTTGATGGTAACTGACCAGGACATAAAAAAAAAAAAAGATGTGCTCAGTGACTGGAGGACTTGGGGACAGGCAGTGAGTAGCTCTTGGGCATCTGTGCTTGACATAGCTCCTGATTCCCCATAGTGCAAAAAATTCTCAATAAATCCCTAATAAAGAATCTCTTGCAGGGGCCACATGGAGCCATAATATCATGCAATACAGTATTATGCATGGGGTTTTCCAGGTTGCACCCCAAAAACCAAACTATGCACATGGGAGTTAGAAGGAACCATCTCCCTTTCTGTCCTCCTTAGTAGATTTTATTTCTTTTTCTCTTCCCCTGGCTCTCCCAAATAAATTTGCCCCAGTGACTGATGTCTGTAAACATTTTTTTCCAGATGACTACCTCCTATAATATATAATTTTCATCAATCCAACCTTTCTTTACTTTTTTTCTGTTTCCTTTAAAGCAAAATGGGTTATTTTTCACATTCTGTCTTTTGAGAGTTTCTTGTCTCTCAGTTTCTCCCTCTCCTCTCAAATAACCACTTTATCGAGATGTAATTCACCTGCCATACAATTCAGCCCCCTTAAGTGTGCAGTTCTATCCAGAGTTGTGTTTACCAGCACTAGCCTAGACATTTTCATTTCCCCACAAAGAACCCTTGCACCTGTGAACAGTTATTCCCCATGTGTTCTTTCCCTAAGCCCCAGGGCTCTTGCATCTACTTTCTCTCTGTATGGATTTGCTTATTCTGAAATACTTCATTTACATGAGATCATACAATATGTGGCCTTTTGTGTCTGACTTTTTCACTTAGCATGAAATGTTCAAGATTTACTCGTTACTCTCCCTATTGACTAATATTCCATTGTTATGGATATACCACTCTGGTTTATCTGTCAATGGATAGAAGTTATGGATATACCACTTTGGTTTATCTGTCAATGGATAGAAGTTTGGGTTGGTCCCACTTTTTGGGTGGGCTATTTTGAATAATGCTGTGAACACTCATGCATAAGTTTTATGTGATCACACATTTTCATTTCTCTTGTGTAGATATCTAGATTACACTTGCTGGGTAATAGTAATTCCAAGTTTAACGTTTTGAGAAACTGTCAAATTGCTTTCTGAAGGGGCTGAAGCATTTACAGTCCCACCAGCCATGTGTGAGGTCGCCGATTTTTCCACGTGTTCATCGGTACTTGTCATCGTCCGTCTTTTCCATTTTAGCTCCCCATCTCTTAAAATTCGCTTTCCCCCTTTTCCTCTGGCCCTTGGATGGGAGGACTGTTATACTAATCAGTAGCTGAAAATTTTTCACTTGAAATAAACACCTACACGTCTGAGACCTGTATTTAGAGCACAATTACTCCTGCTTGCTCCAGTCAGGCACGAACTCAGCTACTTCGAAAGGCAGAAAAAGAGAACAATATGGGAAATGCTTCTTGGCTCCCAGAGAAGCTGCATGCAGGGTATGTATGGGCCCCTTGTTCCTTTGAGAAATATGAGATTGAAGAAGGACAACAGAGTTTCGCAATCTTAACAAATCCTTTGGAGTTATGTGTATGCTGGAATCTGTGAGCATTCTGCTAGCAACAAAAATTATGGTCTCTGGCATTTAATTAATCTTTTCCCTGTGGTCAACTCCTGAGAACCTCTCCACCTTCTGGATGAAGACATGGAAGCTCAGAGAGATTCAGTGATTTGCCTAATGTCACCAAGCAAACAAATGGTAGAGCCCAACCTCCAACTGGAGCCAGATTGCTTTTCTTATCATGCCCCCTCAACTGCAGGCTGTTTCCAAGTGGCCAGGTGCAGAGTCTCAGGATCTTTCTGTCTTGTCACTGACTCCTTGGGAATTTCATCAGAACCCTACCTTTTTCTACCTTCCCTGCTGGCAAACTGCACACCCATGGCCTCGGCAGCGCGTCTGCCTGCCTTGGTCTGCCTGCCTTGGGCTTCCAGGGCTGCCAAGGCCACGTGGGGCTGGTTTGGCAAAAGCCTGGCCTCAGCGTTTGCTTTGGCTGTTTTCTTTTCCATTTCATTGTTTCCATAGGATGTCTGCCTTCCCGAAATAACGCAGGGGCATTCCAGGTAAGTGCAACATCCGACCAAAATCCCCGCCCCTGGCAGCCAATCCAAGCTGCAGGGGCTCTGGCTGGCCATTGTTTTCCTCCTTCCTCTCATCAGTCAGGCTGGGAGGGTGGGAGTCCGGCAGGTTCACCGTGGAGCCTGGACAGGAGGGGAAGGGGTGCTGGTTGAGCTCCCTGGGGAGCAGCAGGCTGCCCCGTGGCCTCTGCCCTAGCATGAGAGGGCGGCAGGCCTGGCCTTCCCACTGCCCCGGGAATGATGAGTTCATGCGGAATACATTTTCATGTAGCAGCAGCACATAGGTATGTCATCTACCTAGTGACAATCTCACTGCCTTACTGGCTTTGGGAATCCTCATCTGCAGCAAGCAGCATGCAATGCCTCTTGGGGCCTTTTCCCAGGTCTTGTAACTAGCTGAGCTCGCCAGCCTTTGTGTGTTGTGGGTGGTGTTCTCCAGAGCCACCAGCCCGCCGAGAGCACTCTGAATTCCACCTGGTGTTTATTTTTCCCTCCGCAGCTTTGTGAAAATTTCCTGTAATTTTCCTTGATCCGTGTGACAGTTCGTGTCCAGAAGAGCCATTGTCCTCAGGTTTGGCAACTTTACAGTGTCCTTCTTCTTTCATTTTAAAAGGAAAAAAAGGAGCCAACTCAAAAGAGATCTTAGCATTGATCCCGTGAGAAGGGACTCAAAGTTACCCACATAGGAGTTGCTCTCCCTGCCTCTAATCCTGACTCATGAAGCATCCTCTCTGATCCTATCAGCCAATGTTGAACGAATAAAATGAATGAACCCCATGGAAATTCAGTTTTAAAAACTGGTTTATTATGGAAGATTTCAAACACACACCGAAGCAAACAGAATAGTGGCGTGAGCCTACCTCAATCCATCAGTACAGATCCAAAAGATCTAAAATCAGGTGTTCCCATTTTTAAGAAGCATCTCCAGTGAATTTGATGTATCTGGTGGAATCACAGTCTGGCAAATACCCACCCCCATTGATGAAGACTCTCATCCTTCTCCCATCTTTGTTTAACTTCTTGGCCTCGCCTGCTGTTGCACCTCACCTTATACTATGATCCAGCTGCCAAGAAGTTAATTTGGGTCTTTGCGCCACCCATACTCCTTTACCTGGTCTTTGCTACTGTCTGGAACAGGGTCCATTGTGCCCCCTCACCCCCCATCTTCACTTCTTTGACTCCTATTCCTCTTTTGGGTCCTAGTTTAATGTCACTTTCTCTTTGCCACCATCCTTAACCTTGATTTCAGGTCTCTCCTCCCTGCTATCCAGTGCCTCACTGTTACTTGTCATAACAACCGTCAAAATTGCTTTGCTGTAATTCCTGGTCTTGCTCTGCTATAGGACCAAGCCCCCAGGGAGTGGGACTTCATCCACCTTCCTTCCTCCCACAGTCCCAGACCTTGCTCCATGTCTGGCCTGCAGCCAGGATTCAGCAAATCATCACGGAAATGGAAACTGAATTCAGCTGAAAGTTTACTTCAATCACACCAACTAGGGACAATTTTGCTAGCAGAAAACACTGAAATTTTATTTGAGTACAATATGAAAATTTCAAGCTTTAGCATGTATAGGCAAAGCCCAGTCAAAATCTACTTCTGGATGTTTTTTATGATGTGAGTATGCTTCATGTTCATTATTTTTTTCAGCACTTACTGATAGACATTCAATGTCATTGTCAAACCATTAAGAAGGAAGAGGTTTTTACCCACTTACTTAACTACTCTGTTTTATTGAGAAAAGATAGTTTTTCTCCATATTAAGGTTTGGGTCAAGGAATTCCAGCCAAGTTTTAAAAGCAGTCTTTTTTTCATTGTTATTCACTCACAAGACAACACACAAGCTATTCTGCACTGTTCAATAGAGTAGCCACCAACAATATGTGGCTTTTGAGCACTTGAAATGTGGCTATCCAAATGAAATGTGCTATAATGGTAAAAATGCACACTGGATTTTACAGACTTAGTATGAAAAAGTGTGAACTATCTCATTAAATTTATTTATATTAATTTCATGTGGAAATGATAATATTCTGTAACTATTTAGTTAAAAATAAAGTAAAATATTTAAGAATATTAAAAGCAGTCTCATCTCTTTCTCCCTACTTTTTTAATGTGACTACCAGAGGTTTAGCACTACACACATGACTTGTATTATGTCTCTGCTGGACACTGTGATCTGTGTGGCTGCTGAAACTCCACTGCAGTTTCCTCATCTGTAAAGAAGGGGTAACAAAAAGTCTCATCTCTTCCCTTCAGGACCAGGATGAACGTAAGTACGTTAGTATTTGTGAGACACTTAGAACAAAATCCAGTATAAAAGAAGTACTTTTTAAACTTTTGTGATTAAATGATGCTTGCTTCTTTTTATTTATTTATTTTTTATTTTTATTTTTTTGCTTGCTTCTTTTTAAACTTTTGTGATTAAATGATGCTTACTTCATTTAGCTTCTGAACTCCTTGCATTAGCCCACGTTCCCTTCAAAACAGAACTTGAAGCAAAGCTCAGGGTCAGTGTTTAATTGTAGGACATGAACCCTACAATAATAATCCCAGGGAAGCAGGACTGGGGCAGCGGGCTAGGCAAGGAAGGAGGGAAGTGACACAGGTGGTGTGATATGGCCACAGCTTCCCTGGAAAACATGTGGCTCTCACTTGATGTGTGAACCATGCAGAGAGGCCAGGGCACTGAAGTGTGGAAGAGGTGTTGGGGGACAAAGGTGGGCAGTTTGTCTGCCAGTTCCTTCCCATCATGTTTCACACTGGGTAAAGATTGCCTCTGGTGGTGTTAAGTCCTTTTCACTTTCTTCTTGTGTCACTGGACCTTTGTAGAGAGCCACCAGGAAAGCCAGATGCCAAGGGTCCAGTTTCTGGACATGGGTTCTGGAGCTAGGGAGAGCTTTGATATGGCAGGGGCCATGGAAGTCTTCATGAAATCTGATGCTCATCCATGGAATGTTACCAACGATGTCAGCAGACAGCAGCCGCAGGAAGGCTGTACTATGAAGGTCATTGCACATGTTTGGAGCTGGTCCAGCTAGGAATCAGGGCAAGTGACCACAACCAGGGGCAGACAGGGCCAGGTGGAACTGAGAAGGGAATGGGTCAGCCTGTCCCTGCACCTCTTGCCCTGGAAATCCTGCCTCATTTGCCCACCAGACTTCCCTCACGGGTCTTGCAAGCATCTCCACTTGAGCATGTTCAAAACTAACAGTACTCTTGGTTTCCATCTCCAAATTTATCCCTTGATCCCGTCCCTCCATGTCCCATCTTCTGCTCCTCTGAAACGTGGGTGGCAAGCTCTAGGGCTCCCTCTTCCTCAGCCCACATGCATCCCTGGGCAGGTGCTGCTATTTCCACCTCCAAATCACATCTCAAAGTCATCCACCTTTCCTCATCTCCACCAGAGGGCCAGTATCTCTCCCATGGCTATTACAATAGATTCTAAGTCGGTCTTCCTATTTCCTCTCTGTCCTTTTTTCTGATACTTTTTCCACACAGTAATCTTTTGCAGCATAAATCAAGTTTAGTCTCTTGCTGATTTAAAACCTTGCAGTGGCTTTTAGAATAAAACCCAAAGTCCTTATCGTGATCTCCATACCAGGCTCTCCATATCTTGTTCCTTCCTGTACATCTCTCCGGCTCATCCTGAGACCCTCCACTCCCTGCTCTCCAGCCACATTCTTCTTTAATCCATAAAACATGCTTATTGTCTAGGACAGAAATCGACAGGATATTGCCTGCTTCTGTTTTGTAAATAAAGTCTTATTGGAACACAATCACGGCAGGATTTATGCACCCTGGAGTCTAGTATTGATTACCTAGCCCTTTTTTAAGAAAGTCTGCTGACCTGTTTTGGGGCCTTTGACTTTGCCTCTGGCTCTTTGCCCAGCTTGTAGAGCAGCTGGTTTCTTGACTCACAGTTTGTTTCCTCCTCAAATAGAGCTTCCTTGACACCATAGTATAAAGGAAGCCTCTTCCCACCCCAACACACCCTTATTTCTTATTATATCACCCTGCTTCTCATCTTTCTAGAACTTTCTCAATGTAAAGTACACCTTTATTTATTACTCTGTTTACTGTCATTTTTTTCTCCCTCACAACTCCAAGTTCCATGAGGATGAGGATCATGGCTATTTTTTTTTTTTCAGTAGTATATTCCCAGCACCTCTCAGTTCCTTCTTTAATAAACTACTGGAACTTCTGCACCCACTTAAGCCCTGACCCTTTTGCAGTGACTCCCACCCCTTGACCACGTTCTTGGTTTGAACACTTACCCAGCAGTTCTGCATCTGCTGAGTAGCTGGGGGTACATGATGCTTCCAGAGAAGAGTGGAGTGTGGGCTGAGCCTGGGTTGGCTCTCCTAATAATACTCAGTCAACAGGGAGTTGTGGCACCACCTCACTGTGTGTTTGATTTTTGTTTTTAACAGTTCTACAGTTCATTCACTATCCCACACACCCCATAAAATAAAAAGTGAATACAGGGCAGTACATTCACCTTTTCATTCAAATGGTCCTGGGGTTACTTTAGGGAGCATCAGATGATTAGGAAGCATTTGCAATTGCCTCCTCCGGCCACCAGGGGGCTATGCCCCCTGAAGGGTCCTGACTCCTCCCTAACTTCCCAGAACACTGGTTGGCCTGCTGGGAAAGCAAATGGGTAGCAAAGGGATCATGAGGAAAGAGGAAGAGCTCCTGGTGTCCCTCCTTGGGGACCAATCTGCACACAGGCAGAAAGGAACCCGTGGACATGCAAACACATCAGACGGAGACACACAAAACCAAATCAAGCACTCCTGCCTTCTCATGTACTCAGGCAGCCACCGTTGGAGGGGCAGAGCAGGAAGTGGCTTAGAGAGCCACCTGCTCTGCTTTACAGATGGGAAAATGAAGATCTAATGGAGGGAACTGTGTGGTTAAAAGTAGAACTGGCTGGCACTCAGGTCTCCCCATCCTTCCCTAATGTCCTAGGTTGTCCTAAGCTTCTTGGGTGTCCTTCTGGGCATTATCTAGATGGCTGGGCACAGGGTGGATTTAGAAAACTTGGAGGGAGTGCTGGACCTAACCTTAGATGGGCACACAATAGCTGCAAGACTAGGTTTTAGCCCCATACTCTGCCCTGTGGCTTCACTGCCATAAATCAGGATGAGTCCCTGCATTTTTGGGAAATTCGCAGGATCCCTGACCTTGCCTGTCAAGTCCAGACACACAGCAGATAGGTAGCATTGGTCAGCATAGGATTTTGATCAGCCAACTTGACTGAGGAGAGGACAGAGACACCACATTATACATCCATGGGATATAACAGCTTCCATAATAATTACAAATATGGTCCTTGAAGGGATAATCAATGACCAATGAGCCTTTCCCATTCCCTCAATCCTGACCTCTCCTAACACTGATGCAGCTTCATTTAGTAAAGGAAAGGGAAGAACAAGCATTTACTTCCCACGGTACAATGCTCCATGCTTAGGGGCTGTCACAATGATGGCCACCTCTCCCATGGCTTCTGAAGAATCAGTGTTTATTCTCTAACCTCTTCCATTCTGGGATACAGGTTTCAGTATTCCCTGCTCTTGTCTCATTATGTCCTTAATAAAGGCATTCCACCTTCTCATTTGTAAATGTCCAGTGGAACAATGCTGTGGTTTCTGTGAAATTTTATACCTTCTAGAAGGTATAAACAAATGTGCCTACGTAAAATGTTATTATTACCTGATGGACGCTGGCTGGCTGGCCCAGTGGTTTGAAGTGCAGTGATGGAGGTCAAGGTCATGGGGTTTGGGTCTCCTGCATCTGGATTATTTCTCTCTCTTTCTTGGGCAGCTACAGGTGCAATAAGCCAAGCAGCCATCTGGGGACAGGGCAAGAGGGGCCGTGAACATCCTTTAGCTCTTCTGGGTGAATAGTTTGAATAAATAGTCATGGTAGTGGGTCATTAATATCCTCTATGAGATCAAAGAAATGTCCTTTGTCTTTGTGTGGGGCATTCTTTCAGAGTTCCTTGAGACCTCAGAGCATCCTGCTTTGCTTAGATCCAGTTGTTCACCTGTGCTCTGAGGAATTCTGGGAGGTCAACAGACACTCTGCTGGGGGAAAGGGGTTTCTGTGGGTGGGGTCTCTGTAGAGAATGATCTCCTTTTAGCTATTTGTGCATTGGGTTTTTTTTATATAAGATTACATTTGAATTAAAATTTCTGAAGCTAAAAATCAGTTTGTAAAATGACACATTAGAGACAAAGTAATAATTCCCAGGCTGTATCCAAGTAAATCTATATGGGTCATCTTGTCTCATAACCCTCCTTACATCAATTTGAGTAGGTGAGGCTAACCGCGTATCATGGATGAGGAGACCAAGGCTTAGAGAAAGGTAGGAATTGGCTCCAAGAGCTAAGAAAGGAAAAATCCAGGTCTGAAACCTAGGTCTGCTGCCTTCCTCCAGCTGGGCACCTCAAAACCTGCAGAATGAACTAAAGAGTTGTACAAATAACATGGGATTTTGAGCTGGAGATCTGGGTTTGAGTTGGGCGTCTAGCTTTTCCTAGAGTGATCACTGGATCACTGACTAGGCAGGTTAGGGCACCTGAGACCCATTCCCTCCCCCACTAAATGGGTCTGCAAATGATACCCATGAGAGGGTGCACGTACTGTATCAAATCTTAGCAGGGCTATTAGTGTGGCATTCAGGAGAGAGCTCAGACTGCCTCCTCAGTACCCCTCGCCCCTCTGTTAGGCTGAGCTGGCATTGCAGCCAGAAGACTCCCTGACCCTTGATTGCATGGTGTTGGGGTGCTGAACTGCACAGGTGGAGTCTCCTTGGGGGGCCCCTGGAGTCCTTCTTTGTTCTCAGTCTGGGGCTATGGAGGCCCTAGGCTAAGGATCAAAGTGTGTGCTCTGCTCTCTCCAGGGCGCACAGCCCTTCACCCGACAGCCCTCTTTAATTAGTTCGGAGCCTTAGAGCAATACCTTTTTTGGGTTCTTATCAGTGCCTCCTGATAAAGTAATTAATGGGTTTCTCTTCTCCACTGAGCATCCTCCTACCCCAGAGGGCTGTGCTCAGAAAGAAGGTGCTAATTAGTTCCTGGGTGATTATCTGGTTAAAGCAACTGAGCCAAGTCTCTGCAAATCTTTATGGAGCCCTCATCATCCCCTGAGTGAGGCTCCAGATCTCTGTGTATTCCTTTTGCTTGATGCCTGCTCTGCTCACAGAGTTCATCCCCTTCCGCAGACACCCTCTCTTTTACCATCAGCACCTGCAGGTGGTGTTCT